CAGAGCCATTGCTTAGGGGTGTAAGCTGGCCTCTGTTATGAGCCAGCCTGTCACACCCCCCCCCCCAGGGACAGCCAGTTAGTTGAGGTTAAAAATGAATCAGATAGAAATTAATCATTTGTTTCAGACTGATAGGATCCCAGTATCCTGCGACCCCAAGCAGGGCCAGTGGCTGGAAGATGAACGAATGAATGAACGAACAGAAAAAGCTGGGAGATCAACAGACCATTACATCGGATCTCCAGAGCAATCTGACAGCTGTTTGTTTGCTGTAATCCTCTGGCCAGCCCAGACACTGACTTTTAAACGCATCTCTGTCTTGAAAGGACAGGCTACCCTTTCCTGTCAGTGGCGTGTGCTGGCTGAGCGTGTGACTCACACGGATTGGCGGGAGTCGCCTGCCAGCGCCGCACGGTGATGCCGGGGCCACTGGCCCACTAGCATGTCACCCATCAGAGCGGCTCCATGTGGTTCGAGCGGCAACCTCGTTGACAGTCACATTATGCGAATGTCAAACCTTTAAAGTCTCCGCCCACAGCCCATCCTCCTCCTGATTGGCTCATCGTCCAGGGACTGAAGAGGTGGCTGTACCAGAGCTAAAAATATGCTAACCCCAGCGCTGTTTTCTGCCAGGCTGAAAAACATGTGTACTTAATCACACAGTTATCCTACCTGCCATCGCCCCGCCCCCTCCCCCCCCAGGACTGAAGTACCCCCCCCCCCCAAAGCCCACCCTTGCAGCACATCACATAAATGAGCGCAGTTTTTTTAACCAACAAAATGCATAGCTACTGTCAGAACAGTCACATGGCAAAGGTTGACAAATAATTGACATAGTAAATTTTAGTGCTTTTGTCTCACGTGTAGATGTTCTAGCACACGAGGCTCTGGATCAAAATGTTCTGTTTCTCTTACTACAGGTGGACTAAGCTTTCAGACGTCAGTGCTTAGCAATCACAATAACATGAGACATTAATTTCTGTTTTGTTTATCTCCAGTGGTGCTTGTGCCAGATAATTTCACACCTGCATGTCAAGGGCTAAAAGGCCCACGGTCTGATTCCACACAAACGTAAAGGTGTCTGCATGCCGACGCTAGCTGGGGGTCTTTGTGTGCAGGTGCGTTCTGTAGACCATGCCATTGCATCAGGGTACTGCTAAAAAGCCATGGAACTAGGTGATCAGGGTATGGTGCCATTAACAGAGACCTGCACTGCATCCTGCAGCACGCTGGTGCATCACGAAGGCGTGAGGGAGCGGTGGCACCGGCTTGCCATCTCCCCCCTGCTCCCCATTTGTGTCTCAGATTTAACTGTATTTGATTCTCCCTGCCAGCCCCTGGAGGATGGGCTCCCCCTTTGAGTCTGGTCCCTCCCAAGGTTTCTTCCTTCTGGGGAGTTTTTCCTTGCCACTGTCGCCTATGGCTTACTCACTGGGGGCTTTGGGTGGGGATGCTGTAAAGCGCTTTGAGACGATGTAATGTTGTGATAATGCGCTATACAAAAATAAATTTCTTGTTGTTGTTGTTGTTGTGAGGGGATCCTGTCTGTGGGCTTCAGCTCCAACACCATCACTCTATACCAGTGTTTCCCAATCTGGTCCTCAGGGACCCACAGACAGTCCACATTTTTGGACCAGGTGTGGGTCCCCGAAGACCGAACTGGGAAACACTGATTCACACTATACTATACTGCGCTCTGGGTGCATGGACAGGACCATGAGGTGCAGGAGGGCTGGAACCCACAGCCATAGCAACCTGCCTACCATCACGTACCATCTGTGTGGTATCCTCTAGTGTTGTTGTGCGTTAATGGTGTTTCTGCTATATTCTCTGTTGTGTAAATAGCAGGTGTATAGGGCTACTTGTACTGTACATTACTGTTGCTGTGAGCGTGAAGTTTTGAAGTTTTTTGTATAAAGTTTGTGTAAATAGCAGGTGTAAAATGTGATGTTAATTCTTTTGGAATGTACAGTGCAGTGCAGTGAAAGGAATTTCCCCCATGGGGACAATGAAGTCTAACTAACTAAATTTGCCCAGATAGATTGTCTGGTGTCCTTTTGTTACTGGACTAGAAACTTTGTGATGGACAGTAAACGCACATCGGACCCTCACTTCTGCAGCGTGTCTATCACACTGCTGAAATTTGCTGATGACATCACTGTCAGGGATGAGTCCATATAAGGAAAAGCACTGGAACAGCTATCGTCCTGGTGTAGATAAAACAATATAGACTGCAGTGAGACCCGGGACCTGGGGGTGGGGGTGGCTCTCATCAATCACATCATTGATACTGTCCCCTTCATAAGCTGTTTATTTATTATTATTATTAATTATGTGAAACGTTTGTTAGCCTCATTTTTACTCAGGTGAATGTTTAGCTTCGAATTTTATTATTAGCTCTTTACCGAGGTCCAGACCTTGGTGACCTCATAGCTGGCTTTGGCTCTAGTCACAGCTCCAAGAAGACAGAGATGACCTTTGGCTATTGGAGGCCGGCACCCTATCACTGGTGTTAAATGACTCAACAGTTAACAGTAACTTGAGTTTGAGTTTGACTTTGACATGACATTCAGCTTCCGGGGCAGCGTCTTCTCACAAAAGCACAAGTGGGATCACCAGCATCACGAAGAAGAGGGAGCTCTTTCTAGTGCCGCTGAAGAACCTCACTTGAGCAATACTAGTCCAATCCTCCACTGACTTAGTCAAGTCCATCCTCTCAGGCTCCATCACTCTTCGTTTCGATGTTACACCTTCTCAGTCCAGATTCAAACTGCAGTGTAATGTCCAGTCTGCAAAAAATATTATTGCCTGCAATCTTCCTCTAATCCCGAAGATGTATGAGTCCAGACTATGGAAGCATGTTAGGAAAATCAACGTCACTATTACTCACCCTTCACACCACCTTTTCTAGAAACCCTGGCAGATGCCTACAGACCATAAAAACTACATCAATTTGCCAGGTGAACAGCTTTTCGATCATGTCATATAGCTCTGATTGACCAGAATGGTCCTGGACAGTAATCACTGTTACTACTGTATGTATGGACTTCCTGTTTGCTGTGTTGCTTTACATCTACTGCACAATACTGAGGTGCACCACTTTGATCCACGTTGAATTGAGAATTTAATAATGTCTATCATTTCGTGTGTTGCATGTATTTTATTCCAATGTAACATTTCACCAAAATAAGTTCTTGGATATGTAATGCCCTTCACAAGCAAAGGTGATTCTGATCCTAAACCATGAACGTGACAGAGATTTAGTTAAGGGAGATCTGCAGGAAATGGCAGAAAGGATGCCACTGCTTCTTTCGTTTGCAAGAGCGGAGCGGCGTGACCTTGGAGGCCGCAGCCGCTGGAATTGTGCCACGATTGTGTGTTGCCAACGGAAACGTGTGCCGGGCGCTCAGAGGGCTGCCCTGTTTACATATAAATACCCTTATTATCTTTATCGGATTGGTCCAAATGGCCCCATAAATGTAACACAGGCTGGGGTTGGAAGGCACTAATAAAACCAAATTCACGCCACCCAAAGGTTGGGTTTAGGATGCCTAACTGGCATCTCTAAATTGTCTATAGCTTATTATTGTATGCATGTACATATGTGTGTGCCATGATGCACTGGCATCCCATCCAGGGTGTACCTAGCCTCGAACCCCTGTGATGCACTGGCATCCCATCCAGGGTGTACCCAGCCCTGTGCCCTGTGATGGACTGGCATCCCATCCAGGGCGTACCTAGCCTCGAACCCCTGTGATGCACTGGCATCCCATCCAGGGCGTACCCAGCCTCGAACCCCTGTGATGGACTGGCATCCCATCCAGGGCGTACCCAGCCTCGAACCCCTGTGATGGACTGGCATCCTATTCATGTTGTACCCAGCCCCGTAACCTGTGATGGACTGGCATCCTATTCATGTTGTACCCAGCCCCGTGCCCTGTGCTGTCTGAGATAGGCTTCACGCCCCTATGGGACTGACTATCGTTTTTGTAGTGAATAATCAGTATGCTGGGAGGACCCTGGGCTTTTCTGACACCTTCCAGCAGGCCGGACAGGAAATCAACAGGACTGAGCAGATCCACGTCTGCAACAAACTATATTTTTATTTAGGCATATTTTTAATGCTGGTTTCTTTACAACAGTATTTCTGAGCTTTTCTGTAAAGTTTTCCTTACAAACATCCCAGTTTTACTAGTTAGACCTGAGCCTTCCTTCTCTGGCCAGAAACCGACAGGGCAGCCTCTCACTGAGGATACACAGCGCCCCCCAGAGGACATTTTTGTTATTTGCATGTGTACATTGTCAGCAGCACTGTATACATAATCGGTTGTAATGTGGCGTCTCCTGGGTGACGTGCTGCTCAGGAAATGATTCATTAGACAACATTTGTCTTATTACACACTAGCTGTGTGAGCTCCATGTACGGGGGGAAGCGTTAATGAGATGGTGAAGCTCAACGCTCAGGAAGGCCCAAAGAAGAGGATTCAGAAATCCAATTTGCATCGTTTCACAAAACCATATGTAATTTGATTTCTCATAAATGCTTGAATGACAGGAGGCCGCGACTTAAGCCTTAATATAAGAGAATGCTAATAATGATCTTCGGCAGAGCAATACTGAATTCATTAAAGCTTCACATTCTGCTCTGTGATGCTGTCACTCACTTTAAACAGGCTTGGGGAGATTTCAGATGATCACACCTTCAAATCCCAGAATGGAGAGGACTGCTGTCCAGTGAGGTTTGTGTGTAGCCTGTCTCCCCCTGCCATCTCTATAAGCTCAGGCACTGTAGTCATTCCAGAGTCAGCAGTATCGACTTTATCACAAAAGGGCTGGTGATTTATTATGATGCACCTTTCCTGTGTTGTGCTGTGAATGCTGCCTGACATGTAATCCATCATCTGTGATAAAACAGACAGCATGGCCCAGCATGGCATCATCACACACAGTAAGGCTCCAACAGTCAGCCTCGATCTCATCACAGGACACAGAAAACCAGACACTGTACATCAAATTATTTACTGTGTATTCAATTCTATAAAACTCCCCACCCCACATTGAAAAAAAATTACTTTGACTGGACTGGAGATTCATGGAAACAATGTTTCCATCATGCAGGGTGATGAAAAATCACTGCCTGCTCAATGTAACTGTTTAAAAACGTAGGTAAATATCACAGCGGTAAGTCATAACAGGACGGCACGTTCCTTCCTTACTTATCCACAGAACCAGGGCAGGTTCTATGTGTTGGAGGTTCACGTTTTCCCAGAAAGACCCTCCTCCTGGCCTGCCATTTGTTCTATTCTAATATAATTATTATTTTGATTATTGCCAACAATAACAGTTACAGTAATAATAATGCTGTTACCTTTCTTACATGTGGGTGTGTCCCTGCTGGGTTTATGTATCTGAAAAGTTGTTGAAGTCCATTCCCTGCACCCTCTGAGGCCACAGACTGACCCTGTGACCCTCTGCAGTGTAGCTAACAGCAGTATCAGGGTACTATTTAGGGATTACTACATCCACACCTCACTAGGCTACTCCAGATTTTAATTTTTGGGATTTGTGGCCCAAATAATGCCCCCACACCCTCCCAAGTGGTCCTTGGCTCATGGGTTTTTGACCAGAGAGTCCCTGATGAAGGAGGTGGCCCCCCCACACCCACAGCTGCCAGGTGCTGTTCAGTCATCGGGCTCCATGATGCATTGCTCCACCATCTCACACAGGGTGGGGTTCTCCATCGCAGCAGCCACCCGCTCCTTGTCGTTGATCTGCTTGTTAACTGTTGACGACAAAAAGGTAAGCCATCACAGGCCACACTATGCTGAGTGCGGCCATTAGCCACCAAGCAGGCTAATTCCCATAATGCACTTGTCTTATCACAACAGAAACAGAAGTAATGTTTACAAACTCACTGTCTTCCTCTGTGGAATGGGTCCCTTCCGAGATGTAAATTTCCAACTGGAATGCATTAAAAAAAAAAAGGCATATTAAACTGAATTCGGCGCTTAAATTTTAAACAGTAAAATTGTTTGATGTAAAGGACCATCTGTCAAAACAATATCACTGTTTGTGTAGCAATTTCTACTAAGAATTAAACTCAGTGAATGTCATGTATAAGGTACTGACAAAAGACAAAGATTACTTCTCAAAAATAAGCTGAAGAGAAAAAATAATTGATGACATCTTCATTCCTGGCCCACTCACCTTGTGTTTGAATGGCAAACACCTCTGCAGTTTGACTTGCAAACAAAGACCTGTCAAAATACAGAAAGACTTTTAAACAAGACCATTTCTTCTTGAGCATTAACACAGAGGACATTTTTTCGGGGACTGAAATAGGATCTGCAGGAAAACAGTATTGTTTGTGAGAAATGACAAGAAGAGAAGAACCAGCCTTTAATTCCCCCAGTTTATCTCCCACCTTTTGGAAAGTGACTGTATTTCCAGGCCTGAGAATCTAATTGGGATCAGCACTAACAGCTGGCCATTATACACAATGGCAAAGGCATTGATCATCAGAAATGTAACTGTGTGACCCAGATAGCTATATGGTCTAAGGATAATACATATTTGGGGTCCTGGATTTACAAGATAAGACTCCACACCCCAGGAGTTTAACGGCACCTTTGAATTTAGCACTTTAAATGAGCCGAGAAATGTCGAGTCTGGCAGAAGATAACAAATGTTACTTTCGCACTTGAAGATGTAAGAAAGGTATAGTTTGTATAGGTATAGTTAACTCTCTGACAAGCTGTGACAAAGTAACACTGACGAGGCTATTGGTAACCATCCAAAAGTAACTCATCAGATGTTAGCAATACGCTTTGAACAAATCCTCTGTTTAGTTCGGTCCTGATCATGAACCAATCAGCTCTGCCCCAGTCCACAAACACCACGGCAGAACGACACGTTTCTCTATCCATGTTTATGATAGCATTTGATCGCCCACAGCCACGTTATCTTTTCGATAGTTACATCTTCAACTTTATTCCATCCACTTCATCAAAAAAGGGGAACGGAATTGGCTCGTGCCCAAGCTTAATTCGGTAATTAAATACTGTAATGTTATCGGGATGTAATTTTATCCAGTCACTCCGATGCCTAAAGTGAAACTGGCTCCGGACGGCGGGACGCTCATACCGATGAGGGTGGCCAGGGAGCAGTGTGGCACCGTGGGGGAGAAGCGGATCACAATGAGGTACTCGTCTTCCCCCAGCTCCTGCACCTGGACGCACTTCTCGGACACCACGTCCAGCTCCTCCAGGGTGTTGGGCTTTTCCGGGTCGCGGATAGTGCGGATCACGTCTGAAGGAGAAGCAGGCAAGCAGAAAAGGAGAATAGGCATTACGGAAATGTAAATGGAAGAGTGCTGGGAATGCAGAGATTTACTGGATGATCAACAGTGATTAAAGGTGCCCTTATAATAAAGGCACTCAACCTAGAGTCCTATTATAACAGATCATGGCATACGTTTACCATAAACCTCTAATGCCTTTTCGTCCATCTTCCTAGCACTCAGTACATTCTTGTTTTCAGAAAACCCAGAAATCCGCAACAGCCTGTCGACAGTGAAAGACAGGAGATAAGACACTATTCCCATCTTTCACGGCACGCCATACTCAACTTCGCTGTGACTTTGACACTCCGGATTTCGGAGCTACTTTCCTATCATGAAAAAATATCCTTCTTATTACGCCAAACAAATCGATGCCGGATCACATTGATAGAGCACTGTCAGAACATACGTAAAATGATTTGTATTTATATATGCATTTGTATTCATGAATGCTTATTATATTTGTGTTATACATTTATAACTTTTTCTATTAATGTAGTTTTCATACACTAATCTACCGTGGTTGATTTATCTGGTCTTAATATATACAATGTCTTGTCTTAACATTTCTATTGGAGGACGATGATCACGTGACTTAAAAATCTGGGCTCTGATTGTACGAACTAGATGTCAATCAAATATCCAACGCTGGCAACAGAGGAAGTCAGTAATGGGGAAGTAAACATTTTGTTCTTGTTTCTTGTTATCTTCAGAAAATGTAATGTTGCAATCAGTTCAAAAAGACAACATTATTTCTGGAGGAGACGGGAATGACGCAAAAATAATGCAGAAGTTTAGCCTTATGTGAGTGCATGGGCGCTGACAGTTATTATGTAACTTTGAAAAGTATATTTTGGCAGCTGCTTGTCTATGGGTTGAAGGCACATGTGTTTAAATGTAACACTGAGTAGCAAAGCGGCGCGTCAAAATGCTGAACAAATCTGACGGACGTCAGTACAGCGCTCTGGAGGTCGCGCTGCTACCCGACGGCCAGTTTTCTCGGAATGTCCGTGACACGGTTAAGGCTGAGATGGCCAGGAGGTCCTCCCTGCTGTGCTGCCTGACCGCCGGCGGCCGCATAGTCCTGGCCGATGTATCAGAGAGCAACCCCCCCGAGACGAAGATCGACGGCACACACACGGAGTAAGGAAGCCCCCTCTGTCCGAAACGACATGCTGTCTCCGTTTATGAAATCTGTCTAAACCTAGGGGTAATGTTTACCGAGTTTGTACTTAAGACTGCTTGAAAAAGGTGGAACATTTGTCATAAAATACTTTTCCTTTTTGTTGTTTTTACGTAGTCCTATTTAAACTTTATCGGATGTTACAGACTTGACGGTGAAGGTGTATATACTGGAATCAACAGGCACTGAGTAATATACCATATTCCTGTTTTTAATGGTCAAACTTCGTGGTACAATTTAAACAGCAGCCAGGAGTTTTTAGCCAAGAATGTCGTTTAAACAAAGATATGAAACGTTACCACGGGCACTCTCTTTCTAACCTCAGTGTGGTGTGCAATGTCTCTCTTCATTTTCACTCATCCCTCCTGCGTAATTGCAGCTTTGTGTGGGAGTCAGAGCCTCCTCAAGTGCTTGGGCAAGCCAGCCACCGGCTGCTAACGGTGGGTCCCAAGAATGAGCTCTGGCTTTATGTGATGGGGCTACAGGGCACGGAGCTCGAGCCCCCTGTCTGCGCAGCCGGCTGCTCCGCGGGTGCCTTACTGCAGGTCGCCAAGGAGACGGACCAGAGTGAGTTCACTGAGTTTATCGCTATGAGGATCGGCAGGAATAGAGCAGCTGCATGAGCCCAGGGTCCTGGCTCTGTGTCCGCAGGGATCTCTGAGCTGCTCAGCCTGAGGGTGCTCTCTTTCACGGAGGGACGCTGCTGTGTGTTGGTGAATGGCGCCGTCCTCCTGCAGCTGTTGTGGCCAGACGGGGCCCCAGAGCCCGAGAAGGTCCCCGGCTGCATCTTAGCACTGCCTGCAGAAGCCCTGGACCGAAGCGTGGACTTCCAGATGTGCAGAGGGGTCCTCTTCATTCTGGCTGACGCGGGACAGCTGTGTATCCTTGAAAGCCAGCCACTGCGCAACGGAGTGTGTATGAAGTCACTGCATAATTCACACACTGTAGATATTCTCTAGCTGTTCACTACTTGGGGTCTTAACTGCCAGCTATCGTCAAGTTTTCAAGTTACACATTTTATTGTCGCGTGTGTTCAGAGACACACTGAAATTCTTGTGCAGGAAAGTTGCAGGAGTCAGAAGGGCAATAAGACAAACAAGACAGTGTAGGACAGGACAGTGCAATATAAGAATAAGCTGACTGTGTTAAGCCTCTCTCCTGACCTGATTTTCTAGAATGTTTTGTGTGTGTGTGTGTGTGTGTGTGTGTGTGTGTGTGTATAAAGAATCACAGTCACAGAGTACTCAACTGATTGGTTGAAACAAAATCTTGGCATGGATTTTCACTTTCTGAACCTGATATTTCCACCTCTGAAAAGTAAATATATAAAATGTATTAGTTTTCTTTATTTATGTCTGTCTATCTCTTAGAGTGGGTGACAAAGACAGTGGGTCTTCCTCCGTGCAGGGGGCGTCCCCACACCCCCACACACATGCACAGCCTTGAATGCCAGATGATTTACCTGCAGCTCTCAGGTGTCAGGCCTTAACCCCGTGTCCCAGATGTGCTCTGCTGTGCCAGCGGTGCCCTGCTCGCCAGCGTGGACCTCACTCTGTGCCAGGCAGGTGGGGGCTCGGGGGAGGCAGACCCGGCCCAGGATGCCCCCTCGTTCCGCCTCTTCCGGGTGTCGCAGGATCTGAGCACCCTGGTGGTGGCTTGTGCCGACTGCGCCTGGGCCATCGATCTGAGTGACTATTTTAGGTGAGCAGAGAAACCTCCTCTGCTGTCATTGATAATGATGACAAATCTGCACTTTGACGTTATATTTCTTTCTGTCTGCAGTCTGCGGTTCCACGTTCGTTCACTGTTTCTTCCATGTTCTGACACTTTCTCCTTCCTTGGCATATGTGTCCCCGCTTGAACGCTCAGTCCGTCCCGTTGCAGGTCACACCCTGAACACCTGCTGCACCGCGCCCCTCCCACCCACCTCCCACTTCAGGCCTTGGGGGCGCTTGACCAGGACGGACTCTCCAGTGCCCAGCACAGTGTCGCCGCCCTGGGGGTTTCCCTTCGTATAGACCGGTGAGTGACCCCCCAGCTGTCAGGGTGACTGTTTCCACTCCCTCTATCCCAGGAGCCTTGTCCAGCAAGGATTGAGATGTGGTGGCATTTAGCACAAAATCCTGAGCTTCAGTCCCATGTTATTGATTAATTAGGGGGAGGTGTGTGGCTCTTTGGGTCACTGGATCAAATCCCAGGGTCAGCAGAGTGATGTCACCATTGGGCCCCTGCGCAAGGCCCTTAACCCACAAGTGCTCCAGGGACTGTCTGCCCCCGCTTTCTCCTGGATAACAGTATCTGCTGAAGATGGATGAATGTCTAATAAGCGAATAGTGATGTATCCTCCTGTCGTCCTGCACTGTAGCTCCTGGGAGGCTCAGCTGGCGATTCTATACAACAAGGCTCGTACCCCAGGGGCCCCGCCCCAGAAAACAAAGCACCCCTGGTTCAAAGACATCCTCCACGTGGAGTGCCAGCAAGCGGCCGTGGGAGCTGGGCTGTTTCGCAGTGCCGCTCCAGCCGGAGGCGCCACTGTGCAGTTTGAGCTGGAGGATGGGGCAGCCCCCGTTGCGCTGGCCGTGACAGAGTTCTCGGCTGTCGTGACCTTCACGACCCCTGACGGCCACGGGTCGGCCGTCGCCTTCTGGGACCCGGAGAGCCAGAGGGTGTCCTACTGTCGGCCCTCGGGCTGGTTCGTGCCAGTCAGGCAGGGCGCCGGGGAACATGCCAGCCTGCTTCTCAAAGGTGAGATGTCACCAGCACTCAAGGCAATTGCATGCCATCACATCAGCGTATAATGCAGTAGACACTGTCTGATTAGCATGTGACGCAGGGGTACCTGGTCCGTTTGTCATTCGTCTTTGTTAGAGCTCTCTCTCTCTATCTGGATTAGTGTGTCTTAGTCTGTTAGCACGTCGGCAGCGCGCTAAGATGTTTCACTTTGCGTTACAGACAGCGGCCTGTCCCTGCTCCTCTTCGGAGTCTCTCAGGAGGAGCTGCTCAATAGGCTGATGGTGTTTGGCAGTGCTGGGACGGCGGACTCCCTCTGTCATCTCAACGCCTGGGACCGCTGCTCCATCCCCATCCATGCCCTGCAGGTTGGGGGGGGGGTGTGCTTTGGCACTGGGGCTGGCTAGCTCAGCTGTTGGTTGGATCCAGAAGGCGAGATCCACTGCTATGTGTTCTCTTTCCCCCAGGCTGGTCTGAAGAATCATCAGCTGGACACCGTGGACTTCTTCCTGAAGAGCAAGGAGAACTTCCTGTGTCCACGCGTGGGATTCGGCCTCCCAGAGCATCCAGCCACCGTCTCCACCCTGAACCAGCTGAAGAGTAGGAGTATTTCTCCATTTTGTGTGGTGATCCTCCCTAAGCGATTTAGTCATTTTGTTATAAAAATGTCCCATATAACAAACCCGCAAACAGATACCACTGACAGAGAGAGTGTATCTGTGTATGTCTGTGTTTCAAAAGCTAAATAAATAGCTAACTAGCTGATTAGCAGAACATGCTGCTTCAGTATCTTCTAAATAAGCAATATGTATATTTCGTGTAGTGACTGTTAGTGGCCAACAGGGGGCCAGACCTTGGGAAGGCCTGACACAAATGACTATTCACAACACGCACAGGTACCTGCTGTTTCTGGCATAGCCCATTGGCTGAATGGTGTTTCTCTGAGTTTTGTGGTCCACTGAAGCAGGCCATCTTGAGCCATTCCTGGCGTGCTCTATGATGCGTGTGTGATTTCCTTCTGCAGATGTGCAGGCTCTGTGTCCTGCTTTGGACCTTCTCAGCTCAGCCATCAGGGACACCCACTCTGAGTCCCAGAGCAAGCAGTTTTCGGAGCAACTGCTGAACATCACGCTGACGTTCCTTAACACGCGTGTGCAGGAGATCCTGTCTGACTCAGAAGGTGAGAGTTTGGTATCCAGTGGGTTTGAAAACTCCTGAAACATTGTTCCAGTTAAATGTGCTGTGCTGTGGAAATTCCACCTTTAAATGGCATGAGTGACCCTGGGTTATGATGGGGTCTCTGAACCCATCCAGAACCTTCCTTGAGTCTTCTTTCTCCCTCCTCCCATCTGGGTCATCAGAACCAGACGAGAACCTGCAGCAGTGCCTGGTGATTCTCAACAAGTACATCTGTGACCTTCGTGTCTTCATGAAGAGGTTCCCCTGGCCTGTAGGGGGTGCCGGTCCACAGGAACCTGCTATACAGGAAGTTGACGCTGGACCGGCTGTGGTTCCTGACTCTGGGCCTGAGCAGATCTGGCATTCCCTGTCCACAGAGGTACTGATTTCCAATGAGGTGTCACAAGGCAGCCCATCGGCACGAAGGCAAAATGGCCCATGGTTTTAATGTGTCACAGCCAGTGTTTATTGTTATCTACGGTGATGTTTTCCATGTCTCTTATTTACTGCCGTTGGCTGTCGCACAATCTGTCATTTCATTTGCACTTCATTGACACCCATTAGTTGTTAATTGGTTCTTTGACTCTTCTTGGTTCCTCATTGGCTCTCACTGGTTTCTTATTGGCTGATTGGTTTTTTTATTGGCTCACACTGATTCTTCATTGATTCTCATTCTTCATCAGCTCAGGAGGTGATATTGAGTTTCCGCTGTACTGATGTGGGGGCTCTGAGACTGTTGCACCCCACCGCAGTGGATGGTGCTTCTAACATTTCTCTCTGTTTCAGGAGGTGGTCCTGCAGGCCGTGATGGCCAACGAGATCCCACGCGCCCAGGCGTACCTGAAGACCCGCAACTGTGCCGAGCAGAACCTCTCAGAGCTCAGGGCCACGGGGCTGCAGCTGGCCTTCCAGTGCTTGGAGCGGCGGGATCTGGACCAGGCCAAATGTCTGCTGCGTAACATGGTAGGGCCTGTCCTCACTGTCCTCACTGTCAGTGCTGTGCTTTTCTACCTGAAACAAGATCTGATAGACTTTCTTTCTGGCAGGGCTTCAGTGTCAAAGAACAGCTCCGGAAGGTCTGCCTTCACACTGACGATGTAGAGCTGAGGGACTTCGTGGTGAGCATCTGCCTGACCATCCGCATCTTCCTACCACACCTACCTGCCCCTTTGTAACTACGGTCAACTCCCACAGGTGGAAGAGTTACGGAGGCTGAACTTTCTGTCGGATGAGGAGGAAGGGGTGGTGCATTTCATCAAACAGCTGGAAGGCCTGCGTTTGATGCCTGCGACGCGTTACAGAAGCTCTGTGAGGAAAAGGTAGGGGATCTGGGTGGCTGTACAGTCTGTTCTGCCTTGAAATTGATCTTCTGATGCATTCTGACTTGTGGCTGGAGCATCTACAGTGGTGCTGTTTGCCGCCACTTAAACCACACATTTGTGTGGGGCCCCTGAGGACCCCAGAAAGAGCAAGCTGACCAATAAGCATCTGTCTAATATACACTGCTCGAAAAACTAAAGGAACACTTTGAAAACACATCAGATCTCAATGGGGAAAAAAATCAAGCTGGATATGTGTACTGATATGGACTGGGTAACGTGTTAGGAATGAAAGGATGCCACTTCGTTTGATGGAAATGAAAATTGTCAACCTACAGAGGGCTGAATTCAAAAACACCCCAAAAATCCAAGTGAAAAAATGATGCGGCAAGCTGGTCCATTCCGCCGAAATTTCATTGCAGCAACTCAAAATCGTACTCAGTAGTTTGTATGGCCCCCACGTGCATCTATGCATGCCTGACAACTTCGGGGCTGCTCATAATGAGATGACGGATGGTGTCCTGGGGGATCTCCTCCCAGATCTGGACCAGGGCATCACAGAGCTCCTGGACAGTCTGAGGTACAACCTGGCAGCGTCGGATGGACCGAAACATAATGTCCCAGAGGTGTTCTATTAGATTTAAGTCAGGCGAGCGAGGTGGCCAGTCAATGGTATGAATTCCTTCGTTCTCCAGGAACTGACTGCATACTCTTGCTATATGAGGCCGGGTATTGTCTTGCACCAGCATAGGGATTGACAATGGGTCCAAGAGTTTCATCCTGATACCTAATGGCAGTCAAGGTGCATCTATCCATGGATATGCCTCCCCAGACCATCACTGACCCACCACCAAGCCGGTCATGCTGAACAATGTTACAGGCAGCATAACGTTCTCTGCAGCTTCTCCAGACCCTTTCATGTCTGTCACATGTGCTCAGGGTGAACCTGCTCTCATCTGTGAAAAAGCACAGAGCACCAGTGGCGGACCTGCCAATCCTGGTATTCTATGGCAAATCCCAGTCAAGCTCCACAGTGCCGGGCAGTGAGCACTATAGGACATCGGGCCCTCAGGCCACCTTCATGAAGTCTGTTTCTAATTGCTTGGTCAGAGACATTCACACCAGTGGCCTGCTGGAGGTCATTTTGTAGGGCTCTGGCAGTGCTCATCCTGTCCCTCCTTACACAAAGGAGCAGATACCAGTCCTGCTGATGGGTTAAGGACCTTCTACGGCCCAGTCCAGCTCTCCTAGAGTAACTGCCTGTTTCCTGGAATGTCCTCCATGCCCTTGAAATTGTGTTGAGAGACACAACAAACCTTCTGGAAATGGCACGTATTGATGCACCATCCTGGAGGAGTTGGGCTACCTGTGCAACCTCTGTAGGGTCCAGGTATCACCCCATGCTACCAGTAGTGACACTGACCGTAGCCAAATGCAAAACTAGTGAAAAAACAGTCAGAAAATATGAGGAGGGAAAAATGTCAGTGGCCTCCACCTGTTAAACCATTCCTGTTTGGGGGTCGTCTCCCTGTTGCCTCTCTAGTGCTCCTGTTGATAATTTCATTAAGACAAAAGCAGCTGAAACTGATTAACAACCCCCTCCGCTACTTAACTGACCAGATCAATATCCCAGTAGTTTAATTGACTTGATGCTATACCAAAAAGTGTTCCTTTAATTTTTTGAGCAGTGTAAATAATAATGAGACTTTATTGATCCCCGTAGGGAAGTTCTCCTCTTGCCTACACCATCTTGCTCTCTCCATGACGCACATACACATATGTAGGTGAGAGCGAGCTTGGTAGCGAAGGGCAGCTACCTGCCATGAAGCCCATGGAGTTTGGGGTTAAGGGCCTTACTCAAGGGCCTACAGACATGTGACTGTTTGGTTGAGGCCAGGCTTGAAATGCTGACCTCCCAGTCAGACACAAAGGCTTAGCCCACTGAGTCGCATGCTTCCCCCAGTGCTGCGTCCTGTATGTCAAGCCATCTCTCCATGCCCAGCACTCTCCAGATGGAGCAGATCAGCCCAGAGTCCAGGCGGCTGCTGGAGGCGTTGGGCGTGGCGCCGGGTCCACGGGCCTCCCAGGCTATGTGGACCTCTGTCAGGATGGACTGGGTGAGGCACTGGGACCAGAACACGCGGAGATCCATCCTGATGTCACGAGTGCAGGACCACGGTGAGCGTAGGCTGCTGACGGATCTTAAGGAAGCTGTCCGTGCTTCACTTAAAGCAGGGGTGGGCAATCTTATCCACAAAGGGCCGGTGTGTATGCGGGTTTTTGGGATAACTTTTAGGTCAGCTGTTCAAACCCGGGTGTGAGGACACTTCAGCCAGTCTGTTCTCTAATCAGTCTTCTAATTAGGGAGTTGCAGCGAAAACCCGCATACACACCGGCCCTTTAAAGGCATTTAACCTGGAGTACCGTTCAAGTCACATGACCCATCACCTGACTAACTGCAGTTAACCTCTGTTAAGCATGTGACTCATGTCAGGTGGAAACACACTAGGTATTTCAACTCCGGTGACACCAGGATACATACAGACCTTTTTATAGAACAGCTTTGATTTTTTATTTTTTTTTTCCTAACAAGACATTAGGCATTTAATGACGTAGCTCATTATACGTCCTTGAGGGTTCATAGCAATTAATGACTCATTTTACATTATGTTTAGCAGGCATTTTTATCCAGAGTGACAGATATTTTAGAAAGCAGGGTCATCCAGTCCCTGGAGCAAGTGGGGGTTAGAGTGTTGCTGAGAGGGCAAACAGTGAATCACTGCAACAGCCAGCCAGCTGCTGTGCTGCACAGCATGCCTGTGTGAACCGTGAAGCCTGAAGTCTGTGCTTGTGTACCGTACTACTTAAAATAACGGACAAGTCGGGAGAACCAGAGAGAACCTGCTTCTCCTCATTCAGTGCCAGATTGTTCTGAGGAGAGGCACTAGAGGAATACATGAACTGTGCGTGTTTATGTGTGTGTGTTTACTAGCGTGTGTGTTTGTGTGCATGTGTGTGTTTACATGCTTGTGTGTGTTTACATGTGTGCATGTGTGTGTTTGCATGTGTTCCTGTGTTTTCATGCGTGTTTCTGCGTGTTTTCATGCGTGTGTGTGCATATTAACAGCCCTGAGGTCCTGCGACCCTGCGGTGCTGTGGCTCTACCTGACCTCCCTCCACGACCGGGAACGGATCACGCGCTGGCTGGAGCGCCTCCCAGAGGCGGACGAGTGGCCGGCGCTCACCGCTGACATTGTGAACGAGCACACGGCCTGCTGCGGGTACCTGCGGGACGAGGTGCTGGACATGCTGGCCAGGTAAGCCGGCCCCTCCGCCACCCCCCCCGGTCCCTCCTGCTCTACATCTGCCCTGACTCCCTCCCTCCCCGCCAGGAAGGGAATCTTCACCCAGGCTGAGCTGTTGGACTTTGAGCAGCTGCTGTGGCGCCTCGGCCAGGCAGGCGGCGTGATGCAGGACCGCTCCCCTGTGCCACACTTCCGCTCCCCCCAGGGCCTTGACTTCCATGCTTGCTTCATCAGGCACTGCCTGGAGAACGGCCTGAGATACCTGCTGTACAGCTACACGCAGCATTACCGGTGAGGACGCCCCCTTCTGGTCAGTTAGGTGTATTGCTCCTGTGCACTTTTCCTCATCCCCAGAATTGCTCTTTCTTTAGCTTGACTCCAGAAAACTGTGCAGCCCTGGCAGACACCAGCCTGCATGAGAGCTACCCCTGGTTTGAGATGATGGTGAAGGTGCAGGAGATCACCAGGAACCTGAACGGTAAGTGAGACGCATTTGACATGCCCCGCACAGAGAGATGCTGGAAAGCGGGTTGCCATGGTGAACGGATCCTCCTTCCAGAGCCCGAGGCCGTGTTCCAGGCCAGCCTGACCAACGCGCAGATCCTGACCCCGGGCAGCCCGGCTAGCGTCAGCAGCATGCTGCTGGAGGGCCACAGCCTCCTCGCACTCTCCACCATCATGTTTGCCCCTGGGGGCATTGACCAGGTGAGCGGATCACCGTCTCAGAGTGGCCACTAGGGGTCTCTCCTGCTGGAAGTGAGTCCTTCACCTCTGAAGCCCTGGATTTAACCTTTTATTTGTATACATGCAGCAGCTGCTGATAAGCATAACAGTATATAGAGCCATTTAAACATCTGATGAATACAAACAAATACTGGCCTTCTTCCACATTCTAAAAAATAATCATTTTCCATGAAAAAAGTTGAAACTGACAGAAGCGATTGGTATCCGCCACCCTTTATTCCATATAGCAGACATTTTTGCTTTTGATGAATTAAGATTTTAGTTTTAAGACTCGAACATACGAAAATGGCACAGATAAAGGTGCGTACCACTGGTTACCAGTCCGGTTTGGCAACGTCGGTACTTTAACGCTGGACTAACCGGCTCCTTTATTCACTAACCTGCCCAGTGGAGCGAGTTAGAGCTGGGCAGCGTTGTGGGTGTCAGCCTCCGAGTGCCTTTTCCGTAACGCCCATGTGAGGATGCTGCCCCCCCCCAACAGGTGGTGAGCGCAGGGCGGGGCTCAGGTGACTCCCCAGGGAAGGTAGACCTCCAGCTCCTGAAGATGGCTCTGACCCCGTACCCTAAGCTGAAGTCAGCCCTGTTCCCCCCCAGCGGCCTGCGGGGAACACCCCCATCTGACATCACTCTGTACCAGCTCATGCAGGTATGGCCTCGTACACTAACACACACACAGGTATAGCTTGGTTCCGGCTTTGAAATGTTGCCGGGGGAAGCAGAGTCTGTCCATTTTTAGTTTTGGGGGGGGGGCAATCCGGCCTGCCCTGCCCCCCTGTGGAGCCGTGCCTGGTAGAGAAACCCGTGGGAGCTGTGTGACTCACTGTTCTGAAGGCCTTGCCGATTCTCAGGGAAGATGGAGAACTTCTGCAAATGGACACAGACACAGCATTAATTAAGCCAACATTATGGGGTGTCAGATCCCTGTGGAACCACAGCACGTTTCCCCGGGGGGCCCAGTCCTGTCAGCTTCAAGCTGTGAGCATTTAGGGGCTCTTAGGTAATGAAATGCCTGCCCCCCCCCTTACTGCTCTCTTTTGTTCAGCTCATTTTTTATCATGGAGGTTAATAAAGCGTACAGGCTGGCCCAGAAACGTGCCGACCCAGCACAAGGCGTACCTGGTTGGGTGGGGCAGGACTGCCTTTCTGTGGAGTGCCAGCTGTTGGTTAAAGCACCACCCCCCCCTTTAATTCCCGTTCTCTGTCTTTCAGTCCCTGCACCCCTTGGATCCTTCCAGACTGTTCCATTGGCAGTCAGCCAACACGTTAGGCAACGGCGGTAGGTCGTCTTCACCAGGCACCTGGGGTGCAGGGAGCCAAGTAGGGGGAGTGGAGGGGAGGCGTGCGTCAGGCGGGGCAACCCTGCTGTCCAATAAGGGAGGAGCCCGATGTTGCTAGAGGACAGACAGTGGTTAGCGGGAGCCTGCACATAGGGGGCGCTGTGTTCACTGGGCGGTGCGGCCCATTCTCTGTCCCGCAGATGCCTTGGAGCTGCCACACTTCTCCAGCCCACAGCTGGTGGCCCAGCATGCCCTGGTGGAGCGCCTGGACTTCCTGTACTATCTACGGCATGGGCGGCCGGCCTCTGCGTTCGGCACCTTCCTGCTGCAGCAGCTCGCCGCTTCCAGTGACCCCCAGCTGCAGTGAGTGGCAGATCGGGCCCCGTGCCGCTTTACTCCATCACCGCTTCGGTCTGTAGAGAACAGCTCGAACCCTAAGGTCCAGGTCCAGAGCTGGTTGTGGCTTTAACAATGGCTGGAAAACTGATACATTGAAGTCAAAAGAAAATTTCGTATCGCTCTGGAAAAACGTTACACTGGAACACTGGATCGTGGTAACAAAGAAGTGAACTTTTGGAAAGCTGTTTAGTGAGCAGACAATGCTGAGTAAATTAAATTAATCAATTAATCCGAGGCACCGCACTCAAATGCAGGCGTAGAAGGTGCATTTCACGTGTTAAAAATTGGAATGGGGAATTTAGGATGAAAGGGAGCTTTGTCTGTCTTTGTGTGTACATGTGATATTGCTTCCCTTTGATCTGTGACCATCAGCTGGATAAAACTCGCTCTTTCACTTTTCGAAGATCCCTGCCAGCCATGGTGATACAGCGCTGTGACACGGGGGTCGTGACCCCGCTTTGCGTCTGTGTGTGTGACAGGGTGGCCCTCGGCGCACAGCAGGCCTACGCCCTGGCCCTGCGCCATTTCCACGCACCGCCCGTCGCCTCGGCCTGCGCCTGCTTCTGCGAGATGCTGGGCGTCGGCAGCTTGAAGCTGCGTGTGGATGTGGCCGCGCTCAGCCTGGTGCTGCGGAGCCAGAGCCAGGGCCAGGAGGAGGCAAGCGGGGCCCTCAGGGACTCACTAGGTGAGGGCCAGGAGGAGGCAAGCGGGGCCCTCAGGGACTCACTAGGTGAGGGCCCGGCACGCTGTCCTGGGAGGGGGACGTTTGTTTGCTTCTGGCTTTGGCATCTTATCTCATGTTCGATAATCCAAAGCTAATATGTTTGTACCTAGAGATGTGCCTCAGTTGCGTTTCTTTGTTTATCTCTTATTTACTGTGATGGTGACCCACAATAATATGCACATTTTCTGTGTCAAATCATTTCATTCTCCACATAATAAGGACGAAATAAACAGATTAGAGTGTTTTTCCTCACGGCTGATAGTGACAGTAAAAGGCTGTGTGTCCCCATGTTCCCAGTGGACAGAGCCAGTGGTCTGCAGGAGCGTGAGGGGGAGTCGGCGCAACAGCTGCTGGTTCACCTGGAGGCTGCAGTGAGGGACAGTGTGGAGAGGAAGAGCCTTGGGAGGTGGGTGTGTGAGAGAGGATACCCAGGCGGGTTAAGGGAGTGGGAGGGGGCAGGGAGAAGATTCCCCAGGTGGGTTAAAGAAGAGGGAGGGGGCAGGGAAAGGATACTCAGGTGGGGAAAGAGGGTGCATGGAGAGGATACCCGGGCGGGATAAACGAGGGGGCAGGGAGAGGATACCCAGGTGGGTTAGGGAGCAGGGAGAGGATACCCAGGTGGGTTAGGGAGCAGGGAGAGGATACCCGGGTGGGTTAGGGAGCAGGGAGAGGATACCTGGGTGGGTTAAGGGGGAAGGAGGGTGAGGGGAGAGGATACCCGGGCGGGTTAAGGGGGAAGGAGGGTGAGGGGAGAGGATACCCGGGCGGGTTAAGGGTGAAGGAGGGTGTGGGGAGTGGATACCCGGGCGGGTTAAAGGTGAAGGAGGGTGTGGGGAGTGGACACCCGGGCGGGTTAAGGGTGAAGGAGGGTGTGGGGAGTGGACACCCGGGCGGGTTAAGAGGGAAGGAGGGAGAGGGGAGAGGATACCCGGGCAGGTTAAGGGTGAAGGAGGGTGAGGGGAGAGGATACCGGGGCAGGATAAAGGGGAGGGAGGGGACAGGGAGAGGATGCCCAGGCGGGTTAGAGGAAAAGGATGGCACAGGGAGAGGATAACCGGGTGGGTTAAGGGGGAAGGATGGGGCAGGAAGAGGACACCAGAGCAGGTTAGGGGGGAAGGAGGGCAAGGGGAGAGGGCCAGGTGGACATAGCTCATGCAGTCTCTGTGTGCCCACAGGTCGTCGTATGAGGCTGGGAAAGAATGGGCCCTGGCAGTCCAGTTCTGCCAGCTGCACCACCTTCCGCTGACCCCCGCCTACCTGAGTGACTGTGCTGCTGACGCCCAGTGGCTAAATTTTCTGGTCTTCATACAGCTTCACAGCTACCCCCCCCAGCAGGTCTGTATACCATCACGCTCTCCCTTATACAGTCAGGGAGCTGAAGCCAAAGGAATCGAAGGGACTCAAAGTTCTTCATGGTACCTTGACACAGCAAAAGATGCCGAATGGTATGACTGCAGTTTAAGTTCAGTTCTGTTCCAGCAGAGGGCGGCAGAGTGCCTCTCACATCCCACCTGTGCGTGTGTATGGAGTTGGCATATTCTCCCCATTTCACGCAGACTTCCTCCAGGTTCTCTGATTTCCTACTACAGACCCCTGACATGCCGTTTTCCTGATTGGCATCATTAAATTTCCCATAGAGTAAGAGTGTGTGCGCTTGTGTGTACCCTTTGATTGACTGGCATCCTGTCCGGGGTGTACCCAAGCCCCCCAGGTTAGGGCTCCGGGTACAGGGTGAGGGTTAGGGTGGTACAGCTTCATGTGTTCTGGTTGGTACAGCTCTCCCCTCTGCCCCTGTCTGGCAGGCTCGCGCACTGGTGGCCCAGTTTGACCCCACCCTGCAGGCCCACCTCTCACTGGCCTTCCAGCGCCTGCAGCCGGAGCAGGATGACTGCCTGGGAGGGGCGGAGCCTGAGCCCCCTGCCGAGTGCCCCCCCGAGCTCTTCCAGGTGCTGCTACGTAGCCGAGAGCAGCGCAGCCCCTGGCGCCACCTGCTGTCTGAGGGACTACGGCTGCACTGCCCCCTTCTGGCGGTGCTGGCGGCCTGTCACAAGGTAAATACCCCCCCCCCCCCCCCAATCACTCAGGTCACGGTTACCATGGTTACCCATTACTTACAGACAGGTTGTGAACACTGTGTTGTGGCTTTGGGCACTGATAATTTGGTTATGCCCCATTTCTAACTACAAAATTGCAAATAAATCCTTGTGACTTTCGATGGAGTGGCTCTGAGAAACTGGGTTTGATGGTCTGTGAGGTTCTGAAGGTGTTCACACTGAGCCCCTCCCCTTCTCCCGCCCCGCCCCGCCCCCAGGATGCTGACTTGATCCACAGCCTGTGCGTGTGGATCCTGACCTCCGTGGATGATGGCATCACCCTCGAAGCCACCGCTCACCTCCGAGAGAGCGTCAGGCACCACAGCTGGGGCCTCCACGACCTTTCCATCATCTGGAGGACCCTGCTGCGGAACCGCAAGGTCCGGCCCCTCATCCGCGGCTTCCAGCTTTTCCAGAAGGTACCTCCTGGCGTGTGCCCTTGAGGTGGTGGGGTGGGAGGGTGGGTGGCATGGGCCTTTATGTACCCCAGTCGCTTCCTCCCCCAGGACTGTCCCCTGGGCCACATGCTGCAGATGTATGAGATGTGCTGTGACTACAAGAACTACCAGGTGGCCAAGCAGAAGCTCCTGGAGTTCCAGAAATGCCTCATGAACGTGAGTATAGACTGGCCCGTAGAAGGGGGTCACGCCTTCATAACGGCCTAGCAGGGGGTTGGGGAGGGCGTGAAAGCAGACCAGCCGCTAATCATCCTGGGGAGGTAGATGATCTCTCCTCCATAAACAGCTGCCACTGGATTTATTTTTCCCTTCCCAGGATTTTTCTTTTTCTGTTACCATCTGTTTTCGAGGCTGATGACCGGCAACGATTAAATAAGGACTTAATAAAACCTGAGTAATAGACCAATTAAGGACTGAGGTTTTGCTTCTGGGCTTTCATGAGACACCCTCCACTTTTATTTGTGATTTTTAGAGGTGGAGATTTCAGGTCCAGAGAGTACAAATCCAGACCAAGATTTTGTTTGAACCAACCAGTTGACTGACTCTTTATACTGAACTGGTTGATTGAAACAAAATCTTCTCTCTGGGCCTGAAATCTCCACCTCTGGTGCTTTTTGAGGCTTGTGGCTTCACATAATCGAAGCTGAATCTGGTTTAAATGTGCACTTTATCAGCTCTTGATTGAGTGAGGTCACCTCTTGTTCCCCCCGCCCCCCCCCCCGTGCAGCTGAAGGGAAGCTGCACTCAGCCCTCTGGCAGCATCCCCACGCAGTGGTCCGAGAGCCAGGCCTCCGTGCTGCTGCTCTCCATGCTGCAGCAGAGCTCCATGCGCTATGAGCTGCACCAGCTGCTCCGCCTGCTGGCCGACGTCGACCACCTGCTCAAGTCCAACGGTAAGGGCCTGCAATACCGGGCTTCCACCACCAGGGTGCTGGGGACTTTACAGGTCTACAGTATGCAAGGGCCAGTTTGCCGTTTCTCCAGCCCTACTCTAATAGTTACTTTGAATTGAATTGAATATTTGAGTGGACTCTCCTGCGTTTCCCATGAAGTTCAGATGGACCCAGAACACTGGGATGCTGTGCTTTACCCGGCTTCCTACGGTTTCTGCTGGAGACCTCAGCACAGCATGTGAATCAGACCTCTGCCCACAGGTCCGGACTTTAAGAAGCTCAGTCTCCTCAGTGACATCCTGTTGGACACACCTGTGCCCCTCAGCCAGACACTGCTGGAGGACTATTCCCCCGATGCCCTGCAGGGGGAGTGCCTGCGCTTGGTGGAGCAGCTGCAGGCACACGGGCTCTTCTCGCAGGCCAGGAGGGTGTCTGAGCTGGCCGACTTGCCCATCGACAGCCTGCTCGTCAGTGAGGTGCGGTCTTTGGCTGTTGTTTGGTTGTGGGGGGTGGAGGGCATAGGTAACTCCTAGGCTTGGATTGCTCAACTCCTAGGTGTCTCAACAGCCTTTATCAGCTGAGTGTAGTTTAGAGAACTAATGGTTTAGGTGGGAAGTCCTGGAATTTCAGAATTCTGCTGTGACTGTACTTATTTGCGGGTGGGGGTGGAAGTAGAGAGGAAGCAGAAATCCTAACCAGTACCTCCACCCCTGGGAGTCTTCTTGACCCAACACCCAACTGCAGTGATAAGGATGTTCTACCATAACCTTCTAGAACATTAATTGAGATCTTCCTCCTCCATCCTGGGCCGTGAAGCTGCAGCAGGAACTGCAGAACCTGAAGACGAAACGACAGTGGTCCAGAAAGGAGACGAGGATCGCCTTCTGGAGGAGGTGCCACGAGCAGTTCAGCAGCAACACCATGGGGGAGCAGGTGGCCTCCGCCTTCTTCCAGGACCAGGCCCGGCCCTCGGAGCCAGCACCGCAGAGTCCGGCGGAAGAGGAGCTGCACTGCGTTCAAGAGAGGCTGCTGCTCCTGGCCCTGGCAGGTCACTGGCTATGCCGGCTGGAGCCCGCGCCCTTGGAGGAGCTGCAGGCATTGGAGAGGCAGATGTGGGAGTGTCGTGTACGGCAGCAGGAGTTGGTTACCGCCATGGAGCAGGAGAGCCTGTTCGCGCTGCCTGTCGTGGCTGCAGGCGATGGCTCCTTTGAAGATGTCATGAAGGAGTTCTCCTTCTCCAAGGCAACGGCCCTGAACCGGCCTGAGAACCTTGATCCTGAGGGCCTGCCCGCGGCCGAGAGCCCGGGGCCCCGCCTGGGGCCAGAGGGACGGGCCGCTTTGGCTGCACTGGTGGGTCGGCTTCTGGATGAGGGCAGCATCAACGAGGCGAGCCGCGTGTGCCGCTACTTTGGCTACTACCAGCATGACGTGGCCTTGGTGTTGCGATGCCGTTGCCTCGCCAGCGGGGAGGGCCCGCCTCTCCAGGAGCTGCCTCCCACAGCTGATTCCCCGGATGCCAACGGCGACCCCAAGAGGAGCTTCGCCAGCTGTCAGTGCCATCGCTTCCCCCCCCCCCCTATCTCTTAGCGTCGCCGCGTGATTGATTCGCTGGTTTCATGGCGCTCTTACTACTTCTCCTGCAGCATCCAGTTTCAGTAGCCTGTGCTCCTTCGTGGTCGTGTCCCAGCCTGAGGACCACATCTCCATGCAGCTCCAGAAGATCGCCGACGAATGCCTCCATGGAAAGAGCTACTGCAAGCAAGTCCTCAGCCTCTACGAGCTATCCAAGGTGCACGTCCTGCCCCGTCTCCCTTAGCCCGGCTCTGTTTCCCCCGCCTTCAGTGACCAGCCTGTGCTTTGCCCCAGGAGCTGAAGGTCCCCTACAGCCAGATATCGGCCGAGGAGCCGCAGTCGGTGCTCTGCAAGGTCCTTCTGTCCCAGCAGCCGGACCGCTATAAGAAGGCGCAGGCCTTCATTGCCGTGCAGAGCCTGGGAGCTGAGGTGGTGGCAGAGCTGGTCTCCAAGGCCGTCATTCAGGGTCTGCTGGCCTCGGAGGAGGTCGGAAGCGGTGAGGCCCCGTCACATCACCTGTTATTTACACCGAAACGATAAAGAAAAAAAAATAATAGTAATAGATACTTTTTATTGAACCCCATGGGGAAATTCTCTTTATGCCTCCCCCAACCCGTACTCTGTAGGTGAGAGCAAGCCATCTGTTGCGGGAGCTAAGGGTTAAGGGTCTTATTGAAGGACCTGCAGACATGGCGAGAGGCCGGGCTCGAACCGGCAACCTTGTGATCACAGGCACAGAGGCCGTAGCCCACTGAGTCACATGCTGCCCCACGCAAATGAGCACACCTTGGTGTTTGGGGTGACATTTTGACAAAATTCAATTGCATCCATGGCTAGACTACGGAAAAACGCATAAGGGGCTGATTCCGAAAGTAAAAATCCAAACTAAGATTTTGTTTCAACCAATCAGTTGAGTATAAAGAGTTACAGTCACAGAGTACTCAACTGGTTGGTTGAAACTAAATCTTGGTCTGGGTTTTTGCTCTCTGGACCTCTGCTGGTTCGTTTGCTATGCACTCAGGCTGGAGGAAGGGCTGTGGTGAAAAATGCTTTCAAGAACAAATGTGTTTGTGCAGGAGAGAAGCAGATCTACAGCCCCACTGAGGGAAGGGAGGCCTTCCTGCAGCTGGCCAGGCTGTGTGGAGACCCCAACCTCGTGGGCACCATGCTGCTGGACCACATCCCCTCCATGCCACTGGTGGAGCTGGCGTGCAGTGAGTATGTTTTCTGTGCTACATGCAGTGGCTGAAAAAATACGGCTGGCACTCACTGGGAGGCCAGAGACGATACTTGGTCAGACCGGAAGGTGATCAGCTAGCCTCTGCATCCTTGGGTGGGGATTGGCTCGTTCTGGAGCAGAGGGCTGTCTGGGGAGGTGTAGCCAGTCCAGTCCAGTCCTCGCCCTGGACGACACTGAAGATTTTGCAGTTGTGATCCTAGCATTTGTTACCCTTCCCCGTAGCTGTGGAGTTGCTCATCCTTGCGCACGACTGCTTCAGCATCACCTGTAACATGGAAGGTATCGTGCGAGTCCTCCAGGCTGCCCGGCACCTTAGCCACGCCCACCTGGCCCACAGCGACCGCTACAGCCTGCTGGTGAGCCCCGCCCCTTCTGAGTCCCCCACCCCCTTTCCCTGTACCATCATCACCAGTCCACGGACATTCTGTGTGTCCCTGTGCCCAGGTTCGCCTCCTGACCGGCATCGGAAGGTACAACGAGATGACCTACATCTTCGACCTGCTGAACCAGAGCCACCGCTTCGAAATGCTGCTCAGGAAGAAGGAGGAGTCAGTAAGTGGGCGGGGTTCTGTTTGGGGGCGGTGCCGAACCCGCGGGTCCCTATGTCAGAGGCCAGCAAACCATGTGCACCCCGCCCTCCTTCCAGAACAGCATGCTGAAGACGGCCCTGCTGGATTACCTGCGGCGCTGCCTGCCTGGGGACAGTGAGAAGCACAACATGGTGGCTCTCTGCTTCAGCATGCGGCGGGAGATCGGGGAGAACCACGAGGCGGCCGCCCGCACGCAGCTCAAACTCATCGAGTCCCAGCCCTGGGGTGAGGAGCCCTTCTAGCTTATAGAACACATGATCCTCCTGGCTTCTGAGGGCCAAAAAGTAAAGAAAGCTTGAGGGCCCCTTTTCTGCTGGTTTGAGGGCCCTGGGGCTTCCTGGCTTGATGCTGAAAGAGCATTGAGAGGAGGAACTCTTCAGTGAGGTTTTATTTTCTCGACACAGCGGTGACCCCGGAGCTTAAGAGTGCCCTGGTGAAGGTGCTGACTCTCCTGAAGGACGCAGCTGAGAGCTACTCCAAGGTACCCCCAGTGGCATTCCTGTCAGCCTAGATCTCACACATTTTGAAAACGCCAGCTGCAGAATCCATTAATGGAAATAGTCAGATTCTGAAAGAACCCTCAAATATTACAGAACAGTTTTTATGTTCCCTTGGGGTGGTTTTGGTGGAAAAAAAAGAATCATCTTGCAAAAATGCATTGGAAACAGAATTTGCGGATGAGTAGATGTGTAGGACACGATAATTAGTTCTTCTAGGGCTACTAACCAGTGGAGAGCCCACTCCACACTGATGTATGAGACATGAACCTTAATCTTGCAGGATGAAAAATGGCAAATATTCTTCACGTGGCACCTATTTGCAATTTTACTTTGTAGGCTTGTAGAAAATTCACGTATAATTTGTTCAAAATTTCAATGGCAACACAGCTACCGTTTCAGCATTTGAGATGATTGTGTGTCTGCGTCTCTGTGCCCGTCCGCCCCGCCCCAGGACTCGTGTGTGCGCCAGGGCGTCCGATGTGTGAAGCTGGCCAAGCTGGTGACGCTGCAGCTGCACATTCTGAATCAGGGCCAAGAGCAGCAGGTCATCAACCTGCGGACCTCCGAGCTGCCGGGTGCCATTGCTGCTCTACCCCGCTGCTACCAGGTACCTCCTCGCCATTCGTGTGTCGTACTTGTGTCATGCATGAGCTATTCGTGTGCCATGCATGTACACATTTGCTCATACCATGGAGATCAGTGCCATTTGTCCCCCTGCTAGGCCTTTGTACTTGCTGAGGCCTATGACTTCGCTCCAGACTGGGCTGAGGTTCTGTACCAGAAGGTTGTGCGCAAGGGAGACTTTGCCTACCTGGAAGAGTTCAAGCGCCACCAGCAGCTGCAGGCCAGTCTCTTTGAGGAGATATCTAAGAAGTACGTCTGTCCGATTGGGTGTTCTAGGGTCACGTGATTCCAGGCCTTCAAAGGCCACAATAAAGGCAGGAGTGTCTTGTGGGCATGAAACCCAGAGCTGAGTGTGTCGTTTTTTGGATTGAGTCCTAAAATTGTGCCCCTTTCTCCCGCAGGGTCTCCCATTCCAAGTCTCCAACTGAGGTCAGCCAGAACCTGAAGAAGCTGCTGGAGCACTGTGAGGACATCTACACCTACTACAAGTTGGCCTACGAGCACAAGTTCTTCGATGTGGCCAATTTGCTGCTCCAGAAGTCCAACACTAGCAGCTACTTGAATGACCGCTTGGCCAGCTGACCATATCGGGAGCAGTCACATGACCAGAGAAACCTTCACAAAGTCCTGCTGATCATTCATGGAGAAACCATGTTAGATTACTGTACAGACTCTGATTTGTAACCATTACAGAATAAATCCGCCATAATTTGCCTTATTTGTCCTTAATTATTTATAACCCCCTGAATAAGCTGTGTTCTGTGTCTTTATTTTTTGTGCAGGTTGTAAATCCTTTTTCTCTAAAACCAGTGTTTTGGGGTCCATAGGGTCCGTTCATATGTGACAGTGACTTGGGGAAATGGCCTTTTTTTTTTTTAATCTCTGAAACATCATGGGGACTTGAGTCTTCTCATTGAATACAGTTCCTCTCAAACTGCCCTCAAGAACAGGTTTGATGTCCTAACTGCTGCAGTCAGTTAGCACTTTAGATCCTTTAGAACGGGTCTGGAAATGACCTTATCGTTAACGTGGTTAGCGAGAGCAGGTCCGGAGGTGGCCTTTTCGTTAACATGATTATGGATGGATGGATGGTACTGTGGTGCAATATTATTCCCTTTATGCTGATTGCCTACCTAGTCTATTTTACTTGTCAGTAACTGTGGGTACAGAAGATGGGTGACATTCATTGGCTACAAGTCGAAGTCCTTAACTACCATGTTATTGGTTGCCCTGTGATTTATTATATATATTTTTTTAAACTAACGAGCGCTTTTGCATGTTACAAGAGGAACACAAAGGTAACTGACGACCTGTAAGCAAAAAAGAAGCCTGTCCACAGAGCAGCGATCTGAGACGGCTTCTCCAGTGGGCGGGAACTCGGTCTGTGGGCTGAAGCTGAGATCTACTACGCCGGTTTCTGGAGAGACCTTGGATGACAACGAAGCGGCGCCCAGTGATTTATTTGTTGTCGTGTAGACTCACGGTCTAAACAGGCTGTAGGATTTATTAGCTCATTCTGCTTTTTTTCTTTCCTTAAATGATTATTTCACCATAAATGCACCAATGTAATACACAAAGGTGTGTGTGTGTGTGTGTGTGTGTGTGGGGGGGGGGGGGGGAAGCAATAAGCAAAGCAATATGCTCTTATCGAAATTACCACTTGGCTAGGTCTATTTTCAAACACATATATACTCTCTTCCCCCCGAGATATCCAAAGAGAACAAAACCTTTATTTCCTTTGTTTTAATATCTATAAAAGGCTTAATTTGCGTCTCTGTGTAGGATGCTGTAACGTGAATGAATAATGCAAATTTACCCCTCCGCTGCAGCTATTTTATATTTTTACTCAAACGTTAAAGTCTCCGTTTGCATCCACCGATAACTATGCATAGGCGTATGGAAAATTCTCGTCTCGCAGTTTCACCCCCTGACTGTGCGCCGTGGATGTTTGGCGAGGCCAAACAGCAGCTGCTGTTCTCTGCCCCGTGGCCCCTGTAATGCAATCCACACACTGCCAATGTCCTCCTGAGTGCTTGCACCTGATTTACTGTCTAACCCCAAATACACCTGAGTTTGGGCATGTTCCTGTCATGTTTCCAACACTGACTGTAAATTAATTTTACTTTCTACTCCGAATCTGTTGCAATAAATCAGTTTAACAGACTCCAGTCATTTTCATGTTGTGCCAGGAAGGTTTCTACTGTTGGCAAAGTCCTCCCTTGTTTAATCCCTGCAAGGCAGCCTAATCAAATGGAATGGGTAGACTTTTCGAAATGTAAGTGTAGGCAATATTAGGCTAATCTGTAGGTTAGCCTATCTGAAATGTATAGGCTAATTATATTGCCCAATGCGTTTCTTACTATATCCCAATAACAGTAGATCATTGTCTCAAAACAACTGGGATCAATTGTTGGAGGAAAAGAAATTGACAGTATGAAAAGTTTTTTTTCTGGCTGTATACAGTATGGTCAGATTTACTAATTCAGTGTCCCCCTCAGATGCAAATCTGACAGGTCCGGCCCGACCGTCACCGAGCGGCTGCGGGGCGGGGCGGCGCGGATCGTCAGGCGTCTCCTGCGCTCCCCACGGCCGCTCCGCTCCTCTGTGTGTCCGGCCGTACGACAGCAGAGTCTCACTGCTTCATAAGACCGTCACTAATTATAATCATAAATTAATACTGTCGGCGGAGTTTGATCGCTCTCCGGCGGAATGCAGCGTCGCGATTTCCCCTTCTACTTTCTTCTCTGTGGAAGTTTATTAAAAGGTAGGTCGTGCATTACATTTACTTTATTTAACAGACTCGTATGTGTTTATGTGTCATTTATGAGGAAAATGTTTTATTTTATGTTTATACTTCTACAGTGACGTGATTTTCGGTTTATTATGCTACTTAAATCGCGATCTACTGTGTTTATTCCAGTTAAAACGCTGCACTTTACGCGGACACTGTAAATGAGTATCGCATTTCTCCTGCTCTTGTGTTATAAAGCGATAGTTTGTAGATCTCAGTTAGTTAAACATTACTGTCTTGTCGCTCCATTAAATACTTGATATTGATTTTTTGTTTCTGGCATAAATATCCGTATCTTGCCGGTATTGACAGAATCACCTTTCAAACATGCGACCTCCACTAATTACTGAAGGTATCGGCGGAAGCAGCAATTACTCATTAAGACTGATAGTTTCAAAACCTTTTAAAAATCTACCGTATTCGGGAGATTTGGGATTTGGGATTTAAAATACTAATATGAGATGAATAAAATATCTACGGGTATTTCTTATTGTGAGCGTTTAAGAAGCAGGCGTCGCTTTTAATGACATGTCAAGCATGGGGTTATGGGAGGATTGTGACGAGAAGCTTTTCTTGGGTTGGTCTGTCAGGTCTACTGTGAAAACAGTCATAGACATGCATATTACACCTTAAGGATTTCAAGGACTGTCTATAGCCTACTCTATTTTAAGATCTGCAACATACAAAACCTCAGCCATCATGCAAAACAGAAGCCATTAAAAAGCTATCTTTCTTTCTATCTGTCTTGTTCCCCATAATTGGATGAGCATTCTTATAGGTGCTGCATTCTCTTTGTTAATGACAAGAGTGCAAAGGGGTTCCCCAGCCACAACACCCCTGCTGCCATCATTCAAGTATGACGGTGTCTGAAACCGCCCCGTCGTGCCTCGTTTCGTCATTGTCCACGGAGCAATCGATTCGCCATTGATGGGGAGTTCTGACCATCTCTATTACCATCTTTGTCAGAGGCCTCATCTATCTTTGGGCCTCGTTAAGTAAATTTAATTTTGAATTAGATGCCGAGCCGTACTTCCCGTGCAACACAGTCGATGTTTGACATTGTCAGGAAATGGATGTTGATCCTCTGCAGTGATCAATGGCAAATCAGCCAGATCTGCTAATCAGAATGAATGATGGGACCACAGACAGTCATATCTCATGGAGAATCTCCCTGGAATTTAATTATGAGATGTCCTGACTCGGACATAGGTCATTCTGGAAGAAAAAGTTGCCTTTTTAAATTTTGCTCCGAGTTCAACTATAGTAGTTAACAAGAAAGGAGCAACGGGTCATTAATTCAGTTTTATTAAGGTCTGGTCCACTCTATATGGTTTGGTATGGTCTGGTCCAAATGGTTTTGGTCTGGTTCAGTATACTTAAAACAGTACCACTCCATTTGGTTTTGATCTGGTCCGGTCCATACAGTTTAGGTCTGGTCCACTCCAAACAGTTTTGGTCTGGTCTGGTCCACTCCAAATGGTTTTGGTCCAGTCTGGTCCACTCCAAATGGTTTTGGTCCAGTCTGGTCCACTCCAGACGGTTTTGGTCTGGTCCAGTCCACTCCAAACAGTTTTGGTCTGGTCCACTCCATACAGTTTAGGTCTGTTCCAGCTGTTGTTCACTGGTAGCGCTCTCTCCACTCAGCATGTCTCTGGTGCAGGTCTTCATTTAGCCCAGGCTCATGGAACTTGATAATGTGACCCCCCCCCCTCCCCCCATCTGAGACAGGAAAATAAATGACTACCGTCCAAAATCCCGATCCAGTCCTGCAAAAGATTCTCCATAGATCAACTGATGTGATGTGAGGTTTGGATTTTCTTCAAAGTCCGAGGTGATCGTGGACCCGCACGCTTCCCACCAGGACTTCTGGATGTTTCCGTGATGATAGCCAAGTCAGACCTGGCCTCACAGTAGAGTAAACCCCAGAAGAGCACTAAGGGGAGCCTTGGGATTCAGGATGGTGGGGGGGGGGGGCATTTGTGAGAGGAGCATGATCGCCAGCTCAGATCAATAAGCTATTACAGGAATGAGTTGGACTGCACATGCCGTGCAACTTGGATGTTCTCCTTAATACTTTCCCATTCACCCCCTAACCTGTAGCACCTCCCAGTGGTTGTTATGTAAAGAACAGAAGATACAAGTGTTGATGTTTGGTGTGACTGAGAATTTACTCCATGGAGGTTTGGTGCAAAATATTATGGGTGCTTGAATTTTATGACAAAGAAACTAAACTACACCAAAGTAGTATTCCTCTGTACTTCTATACCATCTATAGTAGTATTCCTCTATACTAGCTTGATACCATCCATGTTCCCTGAATGCTCTGAATGCTGTACTATCTGTTGGGTTTGAATAGTTGGTTGTTTCTTTGTTTGGGAGATGTTGTGTAGCACCTGCTCCAATACTGTTTACACTTGTAACTGGGCATTGACTGGAAGCTCAGTCTAGCTGCATTTATACCCAGTCAACTCCTCGACACCCATATGTCTGTAAAGTGCTATTTGCCTCACTTGTATATCACTTTAGAGAAAAGTGTCGGCTAAATAAATAGAAATGTATTTCAGTCAAAATAAAGCGATAGGGAGCCTCTTTGGCCCCCCTGCTTAGGCAGTAAGAGGTTTAAGTCATAACTGTGACTCCTGTAACATTTTCTCCCTCGACCTGCAGCTTCCCTCCAAGGGGAACACCAACGGAGGCTTTACAAGGACCTTTTGACCAACTACAACCCCCTGGAGAGGCCGGTCTTCAATGACTCGCACTCCCTCACCGTCCACTTCAGCTTGAGCCTCATGCAGATCATGGACGTGGTGAGTTAGCCAGTTAGCATGGCTGCGCTAGTCAGTTACAACGCATGTTAGTGAATCAGCCAACTGTCATGCCTGTTAGCGCTTTAGCTGTGCTATCTTTCCACATACAGTAGCATGTCCTTCCAGTGGCTCTAAACCCCAAATGCTCCAGGGACTGTCTGACCCTGCTTTCGGAAATGTACATTGCTCTGGATAAAAGCATCTGTTAAATAAATAAATGTAAATGTATCAGGGATACAGAGCTTGTTCTCAAGAAAGGAGAGGCTGAAAAACTGCACATCAGAGTTAATGACTCAGGTACGATGTCCAACTCCTTGTAAGTATGAACTGCTCTGCTCTGCCCATGTGACAGCTCTGTCTGAGCTCTCATTGACCAACCTGTGCTGCTCTGCCCATGTGACAGCTCCCATCTAAGCGCTCATTGGCCAGACTGTGCTGCTCTGCCCATGTGACAGCCCTGTTCCGAACTCTCATTGGCTAGACCGTGCTGCTCTGCCCATGTGCCAGCTCTGTTCCAAGCTCTCATTGGCCAGACTGTGCTGCTCTTCCCATGTGCCAGCTCTGTTCCGAGCTCTCATTGGCCAGACAGTGCTGCTCTGCCCGTGTGCCAGCTCTGTTCCAGGCTCTCATTGGCCAGACTGTGCTGCTCTGCCCATGTGACAGCTCTCTTCTGAGATCCCATTGGCTGGTTGCCTATCTCTCTGTTCTACAGTCTCTCCTCCTGCATTTCTGCACAATTTGGACCCACCCTTCTTTTCAGACCAACCAACCTGTCCATACATTTGTCATATTTCAATACTGAACACGTCGTATTCAACTAATTAGGGGCCTGATGATTTGTGGGTTAGTTTAATAAGGTTGTCTATTGGAGGAGTGAGTAAAATATATGGGGCAGCTTAGTAAAGGTCTGTTAGAGAGGAAGCTTCCCGGGATGGGCTCCAGGTTCCAGGTTCCAGGCTCCAGGCTCCAGGTTTCAGGCTCCAGGTTCCAGGTTCCAGGCTCCAGGCTCCAGGCTCCAGGCTTGCCACACCCCAGCCCTCTGCCAGCACTCATTGAGGACAAGTGGATTGATGTTATAGAGTAATATTTTTGTGTCCTGTTTGATACAGAGAGCAGCACTGCACTGGATGTGTGTGTCTGTGCTTTCCATGTGAGGTTTCATTCGCTTGTTTGCACTGACGTAAAAATCGCTGGTGGGGAAATGAGTCTGCTGAAAAAATAAAATGTAATAAATGCCAGCTGAAATCTGGCAGGAAATACGCTGCCAGTCAGATTCCCGGCTTCATCCCCAGAGCGCTTTGGAAGCCTTCTGTTCCCAGTAAAACAGCGCTGATTTATAGGTGAGCAGGGAATGACATTCTGGGTGACCAAGGGACTGCAGGCAGGGAATGGGAGTCACGTTTGAGGAGAAAAAGAGCAGCACCTGGTCAGTACCTCAGCTGGCTTCTTTCTGACCTGCTGTCCACCTGTGACCGTTCTGGTCACCTGATTTGCCCAATCGACAGGCTGTCCAATCACAAGCCTGCGTGTGGCGTCTGCATTTCACTGTTCCTGGCCAGCCTGATGTGAAGAGCTCCGGAGGCTCATGTTAGCAGCCTGTGGTATTTACCCAGTCCTGCCCACCCTAATCTGACTGCACCATTCCTGACTTGGGGCAGTGGGGAGCTTAAAACACAGAATTACCCATGCGAGCCCTGGGAGGTGCCCTTTCATTAAGTCCACAAGCAGAGCAATAAAGCTTTTTGATCCCTGATTAAAGTTTCCCAAGGAAAAGTAAAAGCACATTTCTCAGAATCATATAGAGAAGGTGCCTTTAGGTAAACCCCATGTCTAATCCAAGTAATAACGATAACAATAATTGATAACTCAATAATGATAGCCTGCATCACTTAATGTTGCACTTTGTGATCAGTGAATAGATTTATCTTGCTTTGTTTGGATGTTGAACTGCTGAAAAAAACAGCTAAAAACCAGTTTATGCTGTTGCTAAACCAGCTAAAATGACCTTAAGCTGTTCTGACCAGCTAAACCATCAAACCATCTTGCGAAAACATACTTTAAGCTGGTCAACTATCGTACATTGGCTATCCAGCTTAAGCTGGTCAGACTGGTTTTTTTCATCAGCGTCCTGCTCTAATCCTGCTTACTCTTGTACCTTGTACCTTTATTAGAAGCTCAGTCCAACCCTAACATCTACTCGACTCCGTGATAGCATGTACACTACTAGTTTTTGCATGCTGCTGTCCTTTGCCACATTTCCATTTATTTATTTAATGGTGCATTCAAGGTTCATGCTGTGTGGTGATGGCACGGTCAAATTCTAGGCTCTGCTGTTAAAACTGCTAGAGGAGGTTACTCTGATGAATCAAGGATATGACATTTCTTTGCTAAAAACATACTCAAATGGTGAACATGCTGTAAATTTATTTGTTAGCAAAGAGTGTATTTTTGGTAAATGTTAAGTGAGTAACATTAAAATGTAGAAAATCTCAGTGTGTGCAAAAACTTTAAACTGGTAGTGTATGTTAGTAATGTGCTATTTGCCTGAAGTTTGTGTCGCTTTGGACAACAGAGTCGACTAAATAAGAGTAAATGTAAAGGTGAATGTAAAACCCTTAGGTAGGCAGCCACATTGCCGCTGACTTGGCTCATTGCGTCTTTGTCTCCCTGTTCTCACCTTTTCAACATGTACAGCTGGTCTTTAAGCTGGCCAGGCAGTTACCTGTGTAAAAGAGGGTCTTGCTCTCACTGTGTCTTCCACCTGCTTTCTCTCTAACCAAAGGTGATTTATCTCCGTGTTTCAGGATGAGAAGAATCAGGTTCTGACCACCAACATATGGCTGCAGCTGGTGAGTCGTTTGTCTTCGTTGACTCTGCAGATGTCCGTGATGAGATATCACTGAGGTCCATCGGTACTCAGGGTCTTACATGAGGAATTCCCTTCCCTGCCATCGACTCAGTAGATCAATCATTTGTTAGACCTTCAGTCTGGGCACCGAACCCGAATTGCTTCAGTAAGTGTCCAGCCGTACAAATGGGTTTGACGTGTCAGATTTTCTAGGTAGAAACAGACCTCACAGTGGGGAAGAAGTTCTTATACCTCAGTGCTCCTTGTGAAATCTTCAAATACTAAACTGAGATCACTCTTAGGGCATCACTTTCTCCAGGGCTAGTGAATTTATCACTATCACAGTGGTTTTCACTGCGATTACTGTACCTCCTGTCAGAAGAAGACATAATCTACGTATAACCCCCCCGCCAAACATACCCTTTATCATGAATATTGGGTGCCAGCTGTCAACAACATGCTCCTGATATTAACTTTGTTTTCGGCCCTCAAGCATATTTATATCAATATATTTACTCCATCCTGTTATGCTGCTCTATTTATTATATATATGATTTATTATTATTTTTCTACACAATGCACTATGTTTATAAACCCTTATGTATGTCTGTAACCCCTTATGTATGTATATTAGGGATGACAAGATTCACCGATTGGCATCTATGCACCGGCATAAATGTTCACCATACGATAAAAAAAATGTGCACTGGATACAGTTGGGGATGAACTCAGGATGCTTCGTTTCCAGCATCTTTGCATCAATAAAATCCAATTTATTAATGTAGAGTAGTGAGCTTAATTATTTTGCGTAATTTCATATTATTTACTTAGTTCACAACTAGTGTTATTGATGTTGTCAGGGATCATTATGCTTCCAGACCGCTTTGCCAATTTAGCAATTTTGTCGCTAGACTTAGCAACCTTTCAGACTCCCCAGGCAACTTTTTTGTTCCAAAAAGCAACTACCAACAAATTTAACTACTTTTAAAACTTATCTTGCAACTTTTAAGAACTTCTGATGTCACACAAACAGTAAAATGCAAGCATTTTCCCTCTAAATGACACACAAACGATTTTCTCTGTCACACTCAGTCACGACACACGGTCTGTCTGCCTGGTTATTATGCTTGTTATAATGAATGACTGCTAATTAGCTGTGCACTGCAGGGTGAGCGAGAACAGTGCCTGTATTTGGAAAAATACCATTCAGCAGCAGCCAGCCAAGCAGCACAACAGCCTGCAGAGAGGTACCATTGTTATGTTGCTAGTTGCAATTGCTCAATAACATAGCATATATGATATACTTAGTAATTAGCTTATATCCATAATTGTTGATCAGTTAGGTAGCATGTTGCCCAGCTACCAATACACATAATAGAACTATAATTGGTCAGAATGTGTAGTTTTACTAGTTCATAAGAAAAAAATGAAATTTGTTCAATAATGTGTAATGTTCAATAATTCAATGTGTCGTTTAAAAATAAAGATATCTAATCATACAAATAAGTCGTATTTATATTACTTAAAAATATGAGAAACATAGAAATCAAAACTAACAAGTTTCTAATCATATTTTTCATCAAGATGACCAATCAATTTCAGTAATGTCATTGAGTAATCTATATAATGATGCGATTTTGCATCATTGCATAATGACATCATGATATCCTTTAGGAACAAATTGACCTGTCTCTAGAATCTTCCCCTGATAATTATTCGGCGATACTACGCGCAAAGCAAGAATCCTCACGTGTCTGTGTTTGGGAATCTAAAATATAGCTCCTGTCTCATCCGACTTTTAGGAGGATAAAACTGAGCCGTCTGAACCTTTATATGTTGAAGCATGTTTGGTAATGAGTCGGGTGGAAGTTTATTTGGTTCACTTAAAAGATTTAGATTAAATGTAACATGTTTCGCAGTTTTCAAAATTAAATACATCTCAACAAGTCATGGTCCCCGCTATGGTAAAATTTGTTGCTTCATGTGTATCTTTAAAATATTGGATCGTTAGCAATGCATCACGATATGTTTCACATTGTCCTCAGAGATGGAAATGCACATCCCCAATGTGTCCAGCCCCCCCTGTTTTGCACTCTCTTGTGTTTTGCACACAGTCCCCCTGTCACTCGCTGTCTATATGTCACACTGTGGTCTTGGGGGAGCATTATTTCGTGTCCCTGTATACCTGTATATGTATGTGGATGACAGGAAAGCCCACTTGACTTCACTTGACAGTCTTACACGCGGTGGCCGTGTTCATGGGGTCTGTCTCTCACGACTGACCGGTCAGGCCAAAGCTGTTCCCAGCAGAGCAGGTCACCTTCAGCGTTCCTGGCTACGGCAGCTCCTCTTGGAAGCTGTGCATGAGAGAACCACAGATGTTCCTCTTTAGCCTCTGGAATGGTTTTGTTCTCTGCCTTAATGTTTATTTGCCCCGCTTTGCCCCACGACACCATCCTTGCCTTTCCACAAACACTCCCAGCTCCTTTTCATCTTTCTCTTTTGTTTCCGCTCTTTGTCAGCTGACCTTCTTTGCTAAGAGTCTGGTCATTGATCCGTTCAGCGTCACTGTGCTGGATACACTCCCTCCACGGCCGAATCAATTCTGCTCCCGAATAGCTTCTGTGCTTTTTAATGTCAACATTCGCTACTGCGGCCTTTTAATAACCTCATGCAGGGGGAGAGTGTTTATATTTGCCTGTGGGTTTCAAGTAAAGCACAAATGTTAACCCTTTGTGGTAAAATATTGTTTGTGATGGTGCAGGTTCCCGCAGCATTGAGGTGCCTTGCAGGACATCTCGTCGTGCATTTTAAAGAGCCACTTGCGTGACATGTGACTTAAGATCCAAATAATTAGCTTAATATAGCAGTTAACTGCTGAGTTTTAACAGGTACCAGCTCGCTTGAAGGACCTCTGTGGGTTCCTCTGGGTTCAGAAGAGCCATTTCTTCTGCTCATCGCTGGTTTCCCAGGTTACCGAAGCCTTCTCTGCGTTAGCCATTTATAATGTCCTGTGAAATAGAAATATTCTCAGTTATTAGATTTTTTTTCTCACTGACAGAAAGTTATTAGCATGAAAAGGTGTCTGGGTGGCGTTGTGGTGGGGCCGGGGGCTCAGATCTTTGCTCTGAGTGGGCAGTTTGCATGTCTTTTCCGTGTTGTCTCAGTTTCCATCTGCAGTCCAAACCCAAAGTTAGGCTAATCGGTGTCTCTAAATTGCCCATCATGTGTAAATGTGTGAATGTGGACTGAGGTGGACTGGCATCCCATCCAGGGTGTACCCCAGCCTCGTGATGGACTGGCATCCCATCCAGGGTGTACCCCAGCCTCGTGATGGACTGGCATCCCATCCAGGGTGTACCCCAGCCTTGTGATGGACTGGCATCCTATCCAAGGTGTACCCCAGCCTGGGATGGGCTCCAGGCCCTCATGACCCTGACCAGGATATCCGGTTGGAGGATGAAGAACGGCTTCTTCTGCACTCACCATAGTTGCACACTCATTTCACCAGACGTTCTCACCATCATTACCCCTGAGACCAGCGGTGCCCTCGTCGCGATCCTGGCCCCTGTCCACTGTTGGGCTGCTGATCTGTCTGTCTGTGTCCCTGCCAGTACTGGACCGATCACTACCTGCAGTGGAACACCTCGGAGTACCCCGGCGTGGCCACCGTCCGCTTCCCCGACAGCCTCATCTGGAGGCCGGACATCCTGCTCTACAACAGGTGCCAAACCTGGAGCCTTCCTGCCGCTTCCGTTATCTTCTCTTATCCAGAGCACCGTACAATTAGTCACCAGTTCACCTGGGTATTTTACTAGAGTAACTTAGGTTAAGTGTAGAGATGCTCAATATATTGGTTAACATATCGGTATCAGCTGATATTCGTTAACAATCAAGATATTGGCATTGGTCTGATGTGACAGTCTTGGCCAATATTTCTAGCCGATATTTAGACTTCAGTCAGTATTCATAGTTCTAAGACATACAGTAATTACTAAAACAATGGAGAAAATAGTACTGGACCATCGGCCATTTTCCGTAGTGGAAGAAGAGGGATTTCTTTGGCTCATTTGCCACTTATAACCTCACTACAGGCTCCCAAGTCACTACTGCTTCACTGAGGCCTCGCCTGTATTATATGACGTGGCTGCTGCACACATTCACGGGGATGTCACTGACCTTCACCACAAATCTATGGAGCTCATTGATTAGCTAGTTATCGGCATCGGTGACATTAAACAAAAACATATCAGTTATCAGTATCGGCCAAAATTTCTTCATCAGTGCACCAACAACAACTTACCATTCTGGAAATTTACCCAGTATCCTTTATGATCTGCTTTCAAGTCCTTACACCTTGCGCTGTCTGCTGAACCATGGTGGAGGATTATGGGTAAAATTACTCCATGAGACGCATGGTGTCCTGCGGCTCCAGCCTGGCCCCTGAGTGGATTACTGCACCATCCTGTCACCCCGAGCCTGCCGGCCAAGCTCCAATTTGTATTTAAATGCTTGGAAATTCACTTCGACACTGGAGAGCGAAGCCTGCCTGATTAATGACCCTCCCCAGGCAGGGAATTGGATTAGAGACTCACTTAGAGAGGGGCATCCATTGCAGAGATGAAGGCCCAGAACAGCACCCCCCAATCTGCTCCCTCGCAGCTTCTCACTGATGTATTCACAGATGTTGTTAAGATGCCCTCTCCGTGAACAATGTCCCATGACCATTACAAAGTATCCTGGGAAACGAGGAGCTTCGAAAGCACAGAGTTCATTTATATAGCTATACAGGCTGCACCGGTATGCATGAATGACATTTACCAAAGACCGAGTGCTGGAAGCAGCCTGTTTCTGCTCACAGCTGTTGGCTCATGATTGCATCGTTTAGCTCGTTAACACTGGAGAGAGACTACCCCGTCCACAGCAAATGGTGTTTAATACCACATAAACCTCGCATTTGTATGGGACACCTAAGGTTTGGGGGCCCCTATAGGCTACAAACAATTACTACACTAAATAGTAAATAAACATGTTCCTTATTTAGGAGATGGTCAAGCAGTATCTTCTGCTAACCAGCTAGCCAGACCAGAAGGAACTTACCGGCCCTGCCCACCCACCCCGTAAGATCTGGACATGCAGGTGTCCCTCCCTCCTCAGTGGAGACCGTGACCTTCGATGATCCATGCAGGCGTAATGCTCAGGTTTCTGTTCTGCTTTCTGTGAAACAAGCTCTCGTACCCATATCACTGTGGGAGCTGTACCCTGTCAGCTGGATGCTAATGTGTGGATGTCGCCCCCCCCTGCATATGTGTGTGCGCAGTCATGTGATCAGGTCGTGGCTGTGTGCCCCTGAGCCCACGGAGCCCTGCCTTATGTCCCGTCCCTAAAGCCCGTCTCCTGTCTCCTGCAGCGCGGATGAGCGGTTTGACGCCACCTTTCACACCAACATCCTGGTGAACTCCTCGGGGTACTGCCAGTACATGCCTCCAGGTAAGCCTGCTGCAAACAGGCTTGGTCACATGACACACTCGAACCCAGGCGCGCAACCTTTCCCAATTCCTCCATCAAAGAGGCTGAAACTGGAGAATTATGGTCTGTTTTTAGGTGAACACATAGAGCCAGAGTTCACTGGATTCTGTGCAGGATGGGATTTGCTGATCTATTTCTGAAGAGCATCGTCACGGCGCCCCTGCTGGTGATCAGTTGCATAAATATACATAAATATACATAAATATATATTTTTATTGCAGGAAACACATTTTTTCACAGATTTTTATTGCTTGTGTTCCAAGTTCTGGTGATTTGGTGATTACAGATATGTGAGTTGTAAAGGCATTCAAAAATAATTTCCAGGTCGACCAAATTCTGTATTCGTGATGATGCATCTCCGGGCTGTAACGGGGGACAAGGGGGGCTGTCATGGAATGAGGCGTCCCTGTGTTAATGGGATTTCTGAAGGCTGGAGGGGATCCCATTGATTGGTGTAGGAATTATTGCGGTAGGTGAGGAATGGGATCTCAGTGAGAAATGCCAGACCAGGAATGTCACAGCGTTCCGGACTCAGCAGTCTGGCATACAGTACCAGGGTCGCCATGGGAGATGAATTTGAGGGCCCCCTGAGCCTCGTCTTGTAGGAAACAGCATGTCCGCTGGAGATGGGCGTGTGTGAATATGGGCACTGTTGGTAGTTGCTGAGTGCATGCCAATCAGTGTCGTCGTTTGGGAAGGTGGGCACATCACTCTGGGATAGGCCCCACCCCCAGAGGCCCCACCCTCAAAGGCCCCATCCCTAAAAACTAAACCACATGGCAAGTTTTCTGTATCAGTTACTTCCTTCTGCTAGTGTCTCTTTGCGTTCAGTTATGAAAAGCAGAGTAGAATTATACTTGCTTAATCAGCTGGATGTTTCATTGTGGCTGTTCAGCGTTAAGCACCTTCACCTATAGATCCAAGAGCTGACCTGTCGTGGGATTCATTAGATCACAGTTGAATTTTGTGAGGTAACAGGCCATGTGCTGACTTAATGGAGATGCTGTTACTCTGTGAAGCCTGCTGGAGCTACTGGCTCCACCCTTTTCTCCTGTGGCTAACCCCTGTCCCACCGCTGGCTCCGCCCTCTTTCCGTGTGACTCACCGCACCCCTCGCCCTTGGCCCCGCCCTTTCTCAGGGATCTTCAGAAGCACGTGCTACATCGACGTGCGTTGGTTCCCCTTCGACGTGCAGCGCTGCGAGCTCAAGTTCGGCTCGTGGACGTACGGCGGCTGGTCCCTGGACCTGCAGATGGTGGATGCCGACGTGACAGGCTACATCGCCAATGGGGAGTGGGACCTCGTGGGTACGTAGGCCTCCACCCTCAGCCCTGCGTAAAGGGCCACTTTCTGCTTGCACCCCCTTGATCTAGGTCTGCAGGTGAGGGTAGGAATGATTCTCAACCAGGCGATTAATAATTTTGCTTATAATCTCTGACCTCAGCAGTCACAAATTCAGTGTGCCCCTCCCCCAGACCCCATTCCTCGCCATCCCCACCACCGCCCTGATACAGGATGTGGGAAACAGCTTAAAACATCCCAAAAGCTGACAGTGGGATGCACCCTGTTCCCACAGCGCTGGTTAGTGGAGCCACAGTGGGTGGTCTGGATGATGCCTGGGTGTGAGAAGCCGCAGAATGAGCTTCAGCGTCGCATTTCCTGCATCACATAGGCAAGGGGTCCTTTGGGTGGCTCCTTAACCTGACGCTGGAGTAGTTTAGCACCGTCCTGTTGCTCTTGTCTGTGCAAGCAGGGCCCTTGTGTTGGGGGGGCTTACCCTGAGTGTTTATGAGTGTATGAAATTCGGGGGAGGGTGTTCTGTGTGTTTCTGAGGGTGGGGGCCATACTTTCAGCCATGTCCCTTTACCTTCCTCCATTTCTCCTTCTCTCCATTCCTCCTTTTCCCACTCTCTCCTTACCTCTATTTCACTTTCTCTCTACCTCACTCTCCCTCGCTATCTCCCCTCCACCCCCATTCCCTCTCTCACCCTGTCCCCCTCTCTCTCCCCTCCACCCCCATTCCCTCTCTCACCCTGTCCCCACGACACAGAGGTTCCCGGCCGCAGGAACGAGCGTTTCTACGACTGCTGCAAGGAGCCGTACCCGGACGTGACGTTCACGGTGGTGATGCGCCGCCGGACCCTGTACTACGGCCTGAACCTGCTCATCCCGTGCGTGCTGATCTCCACGCTGGCCCTGCTGGTGTTCCTGCTGCCCGCCGACTCCGGCGAGAAGATCTCGCTGGGTGAGGCCCCAGTGGGAGGGCGTGCAGGCTGGCCAGCAGGGGGCAGTTAGCGAAGGGCTACCCTATTGCACTGTGAACGCAGAGGGTAAAAGCAGAGGCTGTGAAAGCATCTCATAATCATAAAACAAAACAAGAGTAATGCAAACCTTGGCTTTCTTACAAGAAACACCCACCCAGATTACAAAATCACGGTCAGTTAATTTCCAGACATTCACATATATACTGTCCGTGGATATTAAAGGTCGCTCCAACACCCTGCTTTCCTGCTCAAGTATAATATTTACTTTACATTCTGTTACTTCACTGATGATTTGACCATTTTTTACAGAAGCCATTTGGGTAAAGTGCTGCTGGTCATGCTACTATGGCCTGGGTCTCTGCCCTTAATCACCACGCCACCTGCTGGACGCTGCTGGTGGTGCTGTGCTCTTGACATCACAGTGCTGATTCCCAGCCCCGGGTCTCTGTTTCCCCAGGAATCACGGTGCTGCTGTCCCTCACCGTCTTCATGCTCCTGGTTGCTGAAATCATGCCGGCGACCTCTGACTCCGTGCCACTGATCGGTGAGCTGCTTTCCGGGGGACCGCAGCCTGTGGCGTATAGCCGGGATGCCCCATTGCTACAGTAACAGCAGGAGGCGGCCAAAGGCCTCCGACATTCATTGAGGGATATGAGGCTGACGCTCAGTGCTGTTACCGGCCTCTGGCGCCCCCTAGCTGACACACCACCATCCTCTCTACTCTCCAGCACAGTACTTCGCCACTACTATGGTCATCGTCGGCCTGTCCGTGATCGCCACCGTCCTGGTCCTGCAGTACCACTACCATGACCCCGACGGGGGTAAGATGCCAAAATGGGTGAGTTCTGTTCCTCCTGCCTCTGAACACACACACACAGCAGCATGTCCTTTGAACCTTCAGCAGCTGTGATTTTAGAGAGCTTGGGGTTTGAGTTCACCGGTTTAGCATTTTGGGACATCGGTAGAGTGCACGTAAAGCAGGCTGTAAATCTGAGAAAGGGAGATCAAGAATGTCACTTGTGCCAAAGCTGCTGAGATATATTAATAGGTACAGACAGTTAGGTTAGTGGTGGAGTTTGTGGAACCTGAATGTTGCTGGTTCAAGTCCCGCCAGGGCCCTCTGTGAAATACCCAGTTGGGAAATTGTTATAATAACAGTGCTGCTAAATTTGGTCAGCTGGCTGGTGTGAGATATTCAATTCACAATTCGCACAAGCATTCACATGTATGTAACAGTTTTAATACCTTGTAAATAGTCTGTAGGGTTTGCACACTGCCCCAATGCTTTTAATGTAGCTAATTTTAGGTTTGTACTTGAATAATATATATATTTGCTGTAAGATTTCGTGCACAAGCGTGAGAGTCTGAAAGCATGAGTCACGCCAGATTTGGCAGACTTGGCAACCCTGGAATAAATAACCATTTGATCTGTTTTGCTATAAGTTATTTATGGTATTTTTAAACTTTAAAGTTTAAATAGGGTGTTACATAAAAAAAAAAGTTTAAAATGTATTAAAATCCAATATTTAGGCTGGCTTATCAGCTTAGCAACCAAAATCGCGCGGCTTTTCAAGGTGCCGCTGTGTGGTGTGGACAGATTTCCGGGAGCGGATTATTGCTAGCTAATGAGGTGCTCTGAACGCTAATGCTAATGGGCTGCTCTGAGTGCTAACGCTAACTGGCTCCCCATGAGCACTGATGCTAAGGGGCTGCTTTGAGCAGTAACATTAAGAAGCTCAACTGAGCTCTAATGCTAACAGGCTGCCCTTGAGCACTGATACTAAGGGGCTGCTTTGAGGAGTAACATTAAGAAGATGAGCTGAGCTCTAATGCTAACAGGCTGCCCTTGAGTACTAATGCTAATAGGCGTCTCTTGAGCGCTGACATGGCTGCTCTGAGCGCTAACGCTAACAGGCGTCTCTGGGGCCCCCTGGGACAGACGCGTGTAGTCCTGCTGAACTGGTGTGCCTGGTTCCTGCGGATGCGGCGGCCCGGTGAGGGGAGAGTGCGCCTCGCCTGCCCCAGCGGGCGGCAGCGTAGCAGCGTGTCCAGCGTGGAGCTCGGCAGCGCCGCCCTGGAGCCAGCCGTCAACATGCTGTATGCGGGATTCCGTGGCGTGAAGGGCCCCCGCTATGCGGCCGCACCCGACTCGGGGGGGGCCTGCGGCCCGCTCCTGGGGCCGGGGTCGGAGGAGGATGGGCTCCCGCCCAGGGCACCGGGCTTCGTCCTCGTTGGTGACCACGACCTAGCCAGGATCCTGGAGGAGGTGCGCTACATCGCCAAGCGCTTCCGCGATCAGGACGAGGACGAGTCCATCTGCAGCGAGTGGAAGTTCGCCGCCGCCGTCATCGACCGCCTCTGCCTCATGGCCTTCTCGCTCTTCACTGTCCTCTGCACCATCGGCATCCTCATGTCCGCGCCTAACTTCGTGGAGGCCATCTCTAAGGACTTCTTCACCTAGGCCGCCCTGTGAAACACCCCCCCTCCCCTAACCTCTCTGTCTTTATGTTGCATTCCATTTGAACTCGTAACTTGTAAATTCCAAGTTCCCAGTCGGAAATTTCAACTGGAATGCCCTTGTAGTCGGAATTCCTAATCGGAAAGTCAGAGGGATCTACACAACCACGACCTCAGAATTCAAGATGGCTGCGCCCTTTATCAACAGCAGTAAAGCTGTAGTTTTATACTGTTTAATAGCACTTGCGTCTTATTTGTGACTCATTAAATCGGTTGTACACACAATACTGTCCAATCGCTATCTGTGGATGTGTTGCTATGCTATTTTTGTGCACAAAATACAGTGTAATGTGTTGCTATCAGCTAATATTGCTAACAATGGCTAACAATTAACTGAGCCAGAACTGGGGCCTGTTTCAGAAAACAGGATTTCTTGCTTAGCTGGACAATTTGTCTGATTTAAGATAGTCGGGGCTAAATGTAAGTGAATGAAGATAGAGGCCATTTAAACTGGGGTAAATTAAATCGGACACGTTACCCAGCTAAGAAAGACAAGAAATCTTGCTTTTTGAAACAAGTCCCTGGTACTGCTAAATGGCTTTCTAACTTGCTGTACTGAAACGAGGTTAACTTGGGTGTGACGTCATTCCCAGCTCCAAGGTAAATGGAATGCTGCATTACTCCCTACAGCCCCCGTATTCAAATCGGGCTCTCGATTCCAAACCCAGGCCTTCTTTTCAGTTCTCCCAGGTACTTAGTTTAATACTTACCGATTCTGATCGCCAGAGATTTCACACCTGGCTCAGCACAGTCCTGCCCTACAGCCTCCAGATGCTTGTCTGCATCAGTGATTTATCCCTCGTTAACTCCTCCCCTGTGAAATGACCCCCAGTAACAGTGCACGCGACAGTGCTACTTCTGGTTCAGTGAAATCGCTACATTCCCACCAAAATTGAGAACATGAAGCAAGAATGACAGTGAGCCGTCAGGAGGTCTGTATGGTGTCACGTGGATTTCCGTGCTGTTGGAAGCCTCGCTGACAAAGGAAAAGCCGTCTCTGTTGGTCCAAGTGATGTTAAGACTCTCTAACCTTCCGACTGTGTTCCTGCAGTCGGCAGTGTGACGTGTGGATCTCCCCTCTGTTTCCTTCTTTGCGGGAAAAGCTCCCTTCCTTGCTAAACTGATAAGGTTGCCCACATTCCTGTGAGTTCCTGTGAGCACTGGTTTCGTAGGACTGTTCTCACCACATGAAGTATTCATGAATACATCTTTGACGCAGTAACTGTGCCTGTGTGTTAATGCATCCCCCACTTCACTGTATCTCATGCGAGACTCTCTGTCATGTTCATCTCCACCGACTGCCCTGTTTGGACAGTCTGGAGGTTGCAGACTCCTCCCATCCATAGTGATGATTTGGGAGAGTGACTTCCCCTTCAGACTGATTCCTGACTGGTGGTTTTCTGGACCCCCCAAATAAATGTATTTTTCTAAATGTCAGACTTAACTGGTACCTTGTTGTTCTTCAGTTGCTGCACCAAAGGAAAGGGGAAGGTCCAGCTGCTTTAACCATGCTGGTAACACACATAGTCACACACAGTGTGAGAGACACAGAGGCTGATTCAGTGAGAACAGCAGCAGCGTTTCCACCACTCCAACTATGCATTTCCATAGGGGCCCCCTGTTGGCCACAAATAGTCACTACACTATTAAATAAATGTGTTCCCTATTTAGGAGATACAGAAGCAGCATGTTGCGCTAGCCAGCTACATTCTGGCTCTACATGCCAACTAACATTAACATCATATGCAAACATAATCAAGGGTAGGATGTTTGTAACAGTAAATTTGCATAGCCAGGGGTGGCCAATCACATCAAGATAGGGCCATGGGTATTGGGGTTTTTGTTGCAACTCCTTAATTAGTTTACTAATTAGAGGACTGATTTGCTGAAGAGTCCTCACACCTGGGTTTGAACAGCTGGCCTACAGGTTATCCCACAAACCTGCACACACACCGGCCCTTTGTGGGTAAGATTGCCCACCCCTGGTCGAAGCTGCTGATGTAGCAGTTCTGTTAGCTGTTAGCAAGCAGAGTGAAGACCTGTGGATGGCATTGGGTCTGTGTGTTTGATCACGCCTTCAAACGGCAATAGCCACAGGTGATGGGGGCAGGATGAACCCCTGGGGTCAGGGCACACAGCGTTAACCCATCATACACGCCACAAATAGAGCACGGTGATTCATATTGATACACTACTGATTCATGCTAATACATCATTTTAATCCCATACTTAAAATTCATCAGTGCCAGTATGATATTGACGTTTATTCGTAAACCTTCTCGCCATTCAGTATTTACCTCCTTAAGTTACTTGCACGTTGGAGAGAAATATCCAGCAGGGATTTTTTCCAAAAAGCCAGATCTGATATCTGTCTCATGAGAACCATCCTCAACAGGGGTTTAACAGTAACTTTTTGTAAAACTAAATGCATCGTTGAAACACTAATGCATATGTGTTACAAGCCAGCCAATCAGCACCTTACTTTCTCAAAAAAGTTTAAAATGTCTTTTCCTAAGTAACATAATGATTCTGCCTCTCATACCGGCACCAAACCCTCGTCTGTTGGGGCGTCAAAGTGCCACGGACGACACCGGACTCCCTGATCTGTGTTCAGCAGAGAGTGGCGCTCTTGCCAGGAGTTTGGACACGGGGCAGCCGGGGAAACACTGCTAACACTGGGGGCATTTAAAATGCAGTGTATCAGCAGCAGAAAAAAAATCATATTACCATCTGTACTACAGCCTACTTTGTTTTCAAGGACATTTGCCAGATTTGTCCTGAATTAATACACAACTCAGCTCTAGTAAAATCTACAAATCCTTCACAGGGGCCCGTACTAAACCGGCTATGCACTTATCTTAATATGGATGCCCCCCCTGCATCCTCTGGCTCATCTTTTTTTCCAATAATGATTTTCAAATATGGGGCCCAGTTGTAAATCATGGTACTGTGCTGCCATCTAGTGGCTCAGAGTGACATCACATACAGGTTTTCACTCTGACTTCTACAAACGTTTGTTCACTGTAGGGTAACTGTAAAATTCGAGGCCATCCATCCAGCTTTCAAACGCTTGTCCCAGACTAAGGTAGGTAGCCGGGGTGTCGAACCTCGGAAATGGAGGGCACAAGGCAGGGGACAACTGGAAAAGATGCCAGTCATTTATATGACACAGTAAATTTATTGTAAAAAGAAAATGCTGAGAGAATCAAAAACTTAATCAATAAGTGACGGATCATTATTAATTCATCATGGCTGCCTCAGAGACGACTGTCACCCATTGTCATGGTGATGGAGATTCTGCTAGTTCCGACTGGGTCCGGCTAGACATGCCACCGCTGGTCTCTGAGGACAGCTGACGAGAAGCAGACTCGGTGCTTGTATCCCGTCTCTCTCTGGCCCCCAGAAGCACCTTCCTCCTGGGTCTCTGGGAGGGGGTCGAAAGCAGGGACAGAGTTACCAGCAGACAGGCTGAGACTGGCGCCCGCATGATCCGTGATGCGCTGGGAGTACATGCCTCGATATAAAGGTTAGACTTAGCGAATAGTGCCGGACAGTGGTCATGGTGTAATGAGGGCTTTGAATTACAATATTAAACCATTTACTGGAGATAAGTGCAATGATACAGAAAGCTAAAGTGTGAGGATATCAGTTTGGTGCTGGACACTGGATGGAAATAGACATTGTACAGGATTTACATCTGTCACATTCGGTAAGCAGAGGCCTCACCAGTCACAGAATTTATCTTTTTATTGTAAATAGCCAAACCTCCCAGCTTTCCCTTTAAGGCATTTGACATGGATGTTTTCTTTCCAGACACCGGAGGACGGCACCTGCTGATTGGTCAGGCCGCAAGGGTAGCGGGCGATGTCATCCCGCCGGCACTCTGCCTGCTCCCAGTGCTCCTCCCAGTTCCGGCGCCGGTACTCAGATTGCTGGCTCCTGATGCGCTGCAGGATGGCCTGGTTCTGATGGGTCACCAGCCGCATCTGCTCCATCCGTCTGGCCGCATTGAGGCTGGTCAGGTGGAGCCCCACGTAGGAGACGTTACATGTCAAACATCAGCACTGGACACCCCCCATCTCAGGCTCACAGCTGCACTGACACAACCTTCTGCATCTTCTTACTGAATGAGCTGCTGTGGGGTTAGGGTTCGGGAGTGAGATGCACACATTAAGTAGGTATGAGGAGAGTGTCTACTGGTCACCGTATTTTGTTGGGGACTCCCTGATTTTGCAGAGTGGCTGTCACTGTAGTGCCTGTGGCTTCAGAATGCCGCTTAATATTAACCTCCTGACTGCAACAAACCAGCAGAGATGGGCGTTTCAGAACCAGAAAGTAAAAATCCAGACCAAGATTTAGTTTCCACCAACCATCCATCCACTTCCTGTAACTGCATATTATATTTAGGGTGGGGGGGGGGGGGGGGGGTGGTCCAGAGCCCCCAGGAATGCATCCTTCTTGGGATGCAGCCCCTGAATTCGGACACAGCCTTTATACTAGCTGGTTGACTGAAACGAAATCTTGTCTGGATTTTTACATTCTGGACCTGAAATGTCCACCTCTGCCAACCAGCTTAGAGTTTATATGGGCCGGTAAAATAAAGAAAAACTGGTCCATCGAATCACATTTATATTGTCTATTTTTGTTATTGATTTTGTACATTTTAGCACCGACCATGGAATTTATGCACGAAAGACTTACATGTGCAGTATTTATTTTCTTTCCTTGTTACCACAGTGTATTAACAGCAAACTGCACCTGATGCTCTGGTGTTACCGTGATAAGAGAGCCTTGGTGATTGGGGAACCCCCCCTGAAAGCCACATGACTCCAAAAGGCTCATCTTCACCGGAGCTCGGCATACGAAAGGCGCCTCCTCACCTGCGCTCAGGATAGTCGTTCCTGTCATCCACGTATCCCTTAGAGCACATGATGTCCGCCAGCTTGGAGGACAGAAGCTGATTGTCCCTCTCGATGATGGTCAGCCTCTCCTGCTCCAACTGGTCCACAGTGACCAGGACCAATGCACAGAGATGAAAGTGTCAGTTACTTAGTAAGTACTTAATATAAGTACTGATAAGATATGTGATATAATTCAGGATGTACATTTCAAATCAAAAGGTTTTGCACACACAGATTTTCTACATTTGCATGTTACTCACTTAACATTTACTAAAAATACATTAAATCTTCTTTGCTAAAAAATAAATGTACAGTATTTTCAGTAAATACAGTATTTATTAGCAAGAAAATGTCATATATGTCATATAGAAATTTTGTTGCATTCTTTCTACATGGGACATTAAGCATTGCTCTGTTTCATGGGATGAAACAGGTAACTAGTGCATTTAAATCATTAACATGCTGAAATCTACTTCCAGTGACCAGGACATGTAGGAGAATGGTTTCATATTCAGTCCTCCCGAGTGCAGCTACTTAACCCCAGTAGCCTCAGTCAACATTCAGCTGAATACATGTGTGACAGACAATTCCTCCTCAGAGGAAATGCATCCGGATGGATGACCACCATGTAAAATGATAAGGTGTTGTTATCGTCACGCAGTAGGGGACAATGACCGGGTCACGTGACCGGGGCCACGCCCACACGCACCTGCCGCTTTTTTAGTTTCAGCGCCATGTGAGCCGGAGTCCGGATGCCTTTGGTGTCCACAACAGGCACAGCCGTGCTGACCTGGGGAGCGAAACAGCCCTGTCACCTCAAAGGAAGCTAACTAAATAACTAACCTACTCGACTAACCTACCTCTGATATATGACTGTCACCCGCTACTTCGCAGTTAGACGGCTTCGCTGTCGTTTTAATGTCTCTCTTAATTTCTTTAATATGCTGAGGTAGACAATCCATTTATGCAACAACATTGCCTGTCTTTCCGATATTTCCTTATTCGTTAAAGGTAACAAACTATTTACATCGCTGGTAATAGAGTTTGTTGGTAAAATACAAAAAATGGTAGTGTTTCTGATGCTCGATGTGATATTGTTTATTCTAATTCTAATTTAATTGTAGACAAACTTACTCTTCACGTCTAACGATGTCTTTGTACCCATTGAAACATAATCCTGTTCTATTAAAACACTGAGCGTGATTTTTTTATGTTAACGCACATACAGAAACTGCAGGACACCAAACTGGTGATACAAATCTCTTTACATGCAAACAGATATCTGAATGACATTTCAGCCATTAATCATACGTTTGTGCATAGATATGTAGCGGGAACATTACCTTAAGGATAGAATATATGGTTCCCCCTGCTAAAAAACACAGACACAAACTCTGGACCCCAAAACTAATAACACAAATTTAGGCACATGTAGCCATGTACTTCAATGACTTTCCGCCTGTTCGCAAACTCTATGGAAGTAATAAACTTGTGTTTTCCCACCTTTCTCCTGTGCTGTTCATAGTTGCTCTGGTCCCACTTCTGCTGTATATATTTGTTGGTGGAAGGCTTCAGGGGCTGGTAGGCTCTGTGCATGATGAACTGCGGAGCTATTTCTCCCTGATCCGGCAGGACAGTCAATATCGCAGCCTCCCGGCGGGAGGTCTGGTCTGCGGGGGACCGCGCTGGTGGCCGTTACCATGGCGGTGTCCCTGCCCGCCTGTTGCTGTTAGTTGTATCGAGTGACAGTGAATTATTAATGATTTTAAAGACATATATGTACTTCTTCATGGGCTTGGATAGAACATCGATCAACTTATGAGAAGTGTGTGGTTAAGGGCGCCGGCAGATATGAAAAACCCAAGTGAACAATTTTAAGATAATCGGGAGATAATAACTGCGAGATGTCACATGTAAACACGCTGGTCGTCCTCCAAACCAGCACTAACATATATTCATGCATTTATGAGTTACTAAACTTTTTGTGTCGTCCGCGACGGGAATAGTGCAGAAGGGTCGCCTGTACTGATAACGAATTCACGGGTGTATTATTAAACGGACCATAACATGTTTCAACAAACAATATAAGGTTATAACATTATTAACCTGATGAAAATCGACATATTACAAACATGTATCCATTTCTCTTCCAGCCGCTTATCAAGAGCAGCGTCTCGTATTACTATAACTGCAGGGTTAACTAAATTTATAATATTTTAGATTTTTTATGAACGGTTCCACGATGTTTTCAGTTTGACGTAGATTCATACACGCATATAAAAAACATCCCATGTCAGAATAATGGAGAAGGGGAGGATTTAACTGAGGGGCGTTTCGGTAATAGCAGCAGCGCCCCTCATCGTTTTCATTGGTTCTTACGCCATTACGTTAAACACGAATGCCCACACCGGGATAAAAATTATACCGGGGTGTTCGTGGTTTGCCTATATATTAAAACCGTTTTCTCGTGAAAGGCAACGAATATAAATAGTTCTCATTGCCCTACGATGCCGCTACTACTTCATTGATCCCCTACTTTATTTGATCGCTTCCCCCAACTTGCTCTTTGCAGGGCAAGCTGGCTGCGTTAACTACTTTAAAACTTTATTTCGGCATTATTATGACATTAAGGCTTAAGGAAAAACACATGCACCAAAAGCTATATGCACCGACCACTCTTTATGTGAAATATGTTCGCAACAAACCTTGGGATTCTCCAGTATTTTCCAGATGCTAATGTCATGGTGTATTACAGAAACGGCCCCTAATGACATGTCGGAACGAATATCACGTGTAACCGTTTTCCCAACGAGCTTAATATACTGACGGAGCGCTGCAGATACGACGGTTTCTCTTCTTGTCGTTACAGGCCTATGAAAATCGTACATTTTTCAAAATGTCAGAATCGCTACTTCGTTGGAGTGTGGATCAGCTTAACAGTAATTTTGGCTTGGAGGCCAGCGACGACATAGTCCAGTAAGTGATCGTTGGTTACCACTTGTTATTTTAGCCATGTCACTTCTGTAAATGGGGCTATTCTGTCGATTGGCTGGTCAGTTAGACTTTGATTTAGTAGGTTCAGTATTCGGGATTGCTTTTTGTTGTTATGTGATGTGTTTTGACGTACCGATAATCTACTAATTGTGTATTTGTACCGGTGGTTATTGACAAACTAAATGAGGAAGAGAAGACTAGAAAATGACACTGACAACTAGATAATCAGACTTTACTAGATTGTAAATAAAGATGTTATTTTTGTCTTCAGAGTACCGGTTCGTTGTCTTAAGTACACCGCTTATGTGAAAATGAACACGTTTCCCTTCACTCTGAACGCTATTTTCTGAATTTAGTATTTATTGATATATGGGAGTTATAAACGGCATTCTTTAGGTTTAGATGGCACTGATCTTGTTAGTACCGGTGTTCTGTCATAAAATACTACCTATCGAGACGTGCTATCTAGCCTTTCTGCGCATGTGCAGTTCCACCGTCTTGGGATTAGGGTTAGGGTTAAGGTAAGGGTTTTGGGGGTTAGGGTTAGGGCTATCGATTAGCACTAAGGTAGCATTTTTCGACAAGGCAGCATATATCGACAGAACACCGGCACAGCGTTAATTGAACTGCCGACGCCTTGCAGGTACATCCTGTCCATTGAGACCGCGGAGGAGATCGCCGAGTACGTGGGGGACCTGCTGCAGGGAACAGACGGTAGGAAGAAGGAGTTCATAGATGAGTTACTGCGGAGGTGGCGCCAGTTACAGGGAAATGCGGCTGATGGTGGAGGATTCCTGCACAAGAAGAAGGTGCACGATGGTGAGGAGCAGATGTTCAGGAGCAGAGGTGTGTCCGAGAGCCATGTAAAAGAAAGTAGATTATTCATTATCACTGGCACTTGTCCAATACAGAGCCTTCAGGTATGGCCAAAGACTCACTGAAGAAGTCGAAGAGAAAAGGAAGAAACAAGCAGGAGGTGGTGATGGTCACCGAGCAGCAGCCTGAGCCAGAGGAGGTGAAAACGCCCATCGACCTGATGAAGGTTAGGTGCCGGGGGGAGGAGAACATTCTGGAAAATGCTCCTAGCAACTTCTGAAGGCAGCTGAGCTCGCTGTGTTGACACTACACCAGGCAAAGCAGGCACAGGAGAGCGGCAGCCTTTCCCAAGGGAGGAAGAAGACAAAGTTTGTGAACCTATACGCCAAGGAGGGTGAAGATGGGCTTGCCATCCTGCTGCCTGGCCGGCATCCCTGCGAGTGTCTGGCCCAGAAGCACCGACTGATCAACAACTGCCTGAGCTGTGGGCGCATTGTGTGCCAGCAGGAAGGCTCGGGCCCCTGCCTCTTCTGTGGCAGCTTGGTGAGGCCTGCGGGGTTACGTGGGGCAGATATGGGGCATGAAGGGGCCTGGGGTAAGCACCTTACCTGATGCGACCATTCCAAGAATCCCTTGTGTTTTTGCTGTCATATATCATGGGGTAATGTGTGGCATTGGGGGTCGGGACTCTGTGTCTGTGATCAGAAGGTTGTTGTTTCGAATCCCAGGGTAAACGGAGTGATTTCACCAATGAGAAAGGCCCATAACCTTTGGCTGCTCTTACTTTTGTGATTGCATGTTGCTTTAGGTAAAAGCATCTGCCAAGGGAGTAAATATCATGTAGTCTAATCTCTGTGCTTCAGGAATTCTGACAAAGAGCTCCTTCCTCATTTTTTATGGTGCAACACAATTAGCTCTTACCTCCTGAGATTTGCCAGCAGGGCCCAGGTAATGTCTGCAAGGTCTCCATGAAGCTGTCTCTCTTCCAGGTCTGCACCAAAGAGGAGCAGGAGGTTCTGCAGAGGGACTCGAACAAAAGCCAGAAGCTGCTGCGGAAACTCATGGGCGGTAAGTGGCGGAAGAGACGGGCCCGTTAGCGCGGTCAGTAGCGACGTCATGGTGACATCATGGCTGTGTGTGTCCTGTGCTCGGGTGGCAGATCGCGGGCTGATGGCCGATGGGACAGAGAGGGATTGTCTGTCCTCACAGGAAGCCAAGATGAAGGCCGGGCTGGAGAAGGCTATCCAGCACAAGGAGAAGCTGCTGGAGTTTGACAGGCACAGGTAGGTCGGCCGTGCCGCGATCACGCTGCTGTTAGCATCATGCTAACAGCACGCCAGCGCTCATGGGGCTGTTTGCCGCAGCGTGCGACGGACCCAGGTTCTCGACGACGAGGCCGACTACTTTTCCACGGACTCCAACCAGTGGCTGTCCCCGGGGGAGCGGGAGGCACTACGGAAGCGCGAGGAGGAGCTCCAGCAGCTCCGTCACGCCACCCGCAGAGACAGGAAGATCACGCTGGACTTTGCTGGTCGCCAGGTGCTAGAGGAGGGGGATGACCTTGGGCACTACTACACCAAGTAAGATCTGGGGGGGCAGAGCATGGCAGCGCTGGGGGGCTCAGATGAGAATTCTGTGTGTGTGTGTGTGTGTGTCTGGCAGTGTGTGACTCAGTGGGTTGGGTTGCTATTCTTGTGACCAGAAGGTTGCTGGTTCAAATCCCAAGGTTAGCAGGGTCAGCGTGATTTCACCTTAACCCATAATTGCTCCAGGGACTGGCTGACCCTGTTTTAGTACAATAGTACATCACATCATAAATGTATCTGCTAAATACGTAAATGTCACGTTGGTGTGCATATATGTGTAGTTTTAAGTGTCTTTGCTAATGCTAAGGGCTGCAGCTCCTGACAAGTCAGACTGCCCTCCCCGCAAACAGGTTCGATGAGGCCGTTCAGGCTATAAAAAGCGGTGGTCTGACTCAGACCTCCAGGCAGGAACAGACCCAGCATCCCCTGCGAGATCTGGTGAACCCCAACATCACGCAGACGCCTCCCGTGGTGAGTCACCTGACCTGACCCCCTCACTCTCCCCCTTTACCTGCCCCCCCCCCCTTCCTCCTGACCACGCCTCTCCTTATCCCACGCCGGCAGTGGGTGGAGGTGGGGGCTCGTGAGGCCCACAGGAAGCCAATCGGAGAGGGTCAGGCCAAGGAGGAGTCACGAGCCATGCTGAGGCTGCAGGACCCCGAGCTGAAGGAGATGGCGGATGATGGTTGGTGCCTCTCCATGCACCAGCCGTGGGCCTCGCTGCTCGCGAAGGGCATCAAGAGGTATTGAGATTATGATCATGTGGGCCAGCAGGGGTTGTAGTGGTAAGGAAATCAGTGGGGAAATGTCCCATCACCCACTAAAGTTGTGACCACCCTTAGTGAGAGACACATGAGTGCAGGTCCATAAAATAAACCAGAAAAACACAGAAGAGTAAAATTTTGACCAGTATTCAAGATTTGATTAAATCATGGACTAAAATCTTGAGTTTTTAAATTGGGTTAAATTCACTGTTTAGTTTAATTCTGAGTTTAGAGGTAGTTTACTATCGTGCAGCAAGAGTTTCCTCCTGAATAAAGGTTTTTACAGTAAATACGCTTCCAGGACAGATGGGCCCTATAACCACCATTTTTCAGGTTATGGTGCTGTCAGAGCCTGGCAGTGGGGGAGGGCTGCCCCCTGGTGTCCACACGGTGTACTGACGGTAGCCGGTATCTCTGTGCAGGGTGGAGGGCCGGACGTGGTACACCCCCCACCGTGGGCGTCTTTGGATTGCGGCGGCCGCCAAGAAACCGACCCCCCAGGAAATCTCCCAGGTGGAGGCCCAGTACCGTCAGTTGTACGGAGCAGGTGTGGCCACACGCATGTACAGACACACACACACACCCCCGCACAGGCCCCCACTCACCCGGCCGTCGTCCCATCGGGGCCCATGCTGTCTTGCAGATGTCCCGTTCCCCCAGGACTACCCCACCGGCTGCCTGCTAGGCTGTGTCAGCCTAGTGGACTGCCTGGCACAGGAGCAGTACAGAGAACAGGTGAGAGCGCCCCCCTGAGGTTGCTTACGAACACGAGGCCAGGACTTCTATAGAATTCTGTAATAGTTAATAATAACCATTCAGTTTTGCCAAATAAAGACGGTTTGATCATCGTCAAAAATACAGTATATTACAAATGGAGGTACTTTTGCTGGTTCTACTCTTTCACCAGCAGAGGGAGCTGTCAACCATATTAGTCCTGTAGCAGGCAGCCATGTTCTGCAGGTGTGAGTGCTGTTCTCAGCCATTCTGTAGCCCTGCACGCCCCCCCCCACCCCCAAATCAGGTCACATGACACAGACCTCCCGCAAGGGTTTCATGGTGCCCCCAAGGCATTGCTGCTGGATTGGCATTGAGGGTAACGGTCAGCCTTTCCCCTGCGTGACCTTCACAGAATAGCGCGTCTCTGTGGAATAAAACGATGCCAGGCTGAAATTCTGAACTGTGTCGGTTGACAAGGGCCATTTAGGTGGCTGCACAGATCGAGGCTCCGAATAGCCCCCCACCTCAGAAACCTTGAGTAGTCACCAGCAGTGCTACTGCATCAGTATGTGGCTGCAAACCTGCGTCTGCCGGCTGTCAAAGCTCGTCTGGCTGTATCCAGTGACCTCATTTCCTGGATGTCATTTCCTGGTTTAACATTGCTTCACTGTCATGCAATCCCTGCAGCAATTACGGTTAAGGGCCTTATTCAGGGGCCTGACAGTGACATCACTCTGCTGAGCGTGTGCTGAGGTCCATGGAGCAGTGCCGTCTGCGTTTGAGGTCCTGATGGTGTGGCGTTCCAGGGAGCGACCTTGCTGTGGCCTCCCTGAAGCACGTTAAGTGTCTGAAAGCTGACACCCTAATTGTCTGTCAGGGAGAGGCCGGCTTCTGGAAGCCACTCACTGTCTCCATCTCTCTTTCGGTTCCTCGGGAGATGCTCTCATTCTCTGCCATTGTCACCTGCGGTTCAGGCGAGGTGAAGGAGGTGAAGTGGGGGGTGTCTGCATGGAGGTGTAACAGTGCTGTTTGCACGCCTGGGCGGACTGGAGCTGAGCCGTGTCTTGTCCCGGGTGCCAGAACACAAGGACAGGAGGGCAGTGTGGGGGTGCTGGAAGGTGTGCTTTGGAGATGCGTGACACATGTCCTCTGAAAATGGCAGCACTCACCATAGAGTCAGGGGCAGGATGACAGTGATGTCATCAGAAGCCTCGTTCAAAGGGTCTTGGACATGAAGTAGGACTCTGGCTTTTATAAATTAGAGCCAATAATTGCAGGTGGATTTGCAAGAAGTGCCATTGGGTTGTCTCTCTCTCTGCCTGTCTGTCTGTCAGTGTGCTACTGTCACTTCTGCTCCCCTGCCCTCCTCTTGCTCACGCCTCTCTTTCTATCCCCTCAGTTCCCTGACACCTGTGAGGAGTCGGCATCACCGTTCGTCTTCATCTGCACCAGCCCCCAGGAGCTGCTGGTCAAATTTCCCATGAAAGGGAGGCACAAGATCTGTGAGTCCCAACCACTCACTCACACATACACGCACGCACACGTGGTTTTAAAAAGCAACGCTGTCTGCTCCAGTTTAAGCCGGTCATGTCTGTGTGGTTAAATCTATCACCAGACAGGCAGAAACCAGTTAACTAGTGTCTCATTTCCACCGATGTGTTGCCAGTGCTGGGCTGGTTCTCACTTGGTGCCTTTTGAGAACCTGTTATAGAATTATGGATTTTCCTCAGCCTGCTGCTGAATATTGTAATGAGTGTTTTACTGTCCATCTCAATCCATGCTGACCCTCCCTGACCTTGAAGGGTCACTGGCAGTGTCACAGTGTGGCCCAGTGTTGCAGAGACAGGGTCAGCCTGCTCCAGCACAGTAAAGCAGCCCCACATTCTGTCTTTTCTGATGCCTCAAACGGGAACTAGGGAACGCCGAATTGCTGAGCCCCCTACCCCACCTTGACCCCATGGTCTCTGCGGTCAGAGCGTTTGTCAGCAGCTCTCCAGCAGATGGCAGAGCTGGAACGTGAGGGGCAGGCGATCGCCCTCGGTCACGGATGGCTCAGCGGGTTGGGGCACTGTGCCTGTGATCGGAAAGTTGGCACCAAATCCCAGGGTCAGCAGTGATTTCACTATTGGACCCTTGAGCCCAATTGCTCCAGGGTTTGTCTGACTCTGCTTTGTGAAATGTGTGTCATTTTGGATTAAAGTGTCTTAAGTAACTAAAAATATAAAATGTAAAAGAAAGTGCCATGTTTCAGCAGCAGCTAAGCCTGTGTGTGTGTGTGTGTGTGT